CTATCAAATTCATTAAACATTTGCAACAGTTCGTATCATTTATCATGGAATCTTCAATGCAATGGAATCTTCTTCAATTCCGTTATTAAACGCCATTACCGTATTTTGTAATTCCGATTGAAATGCCACAGCGAGATAATTGAAAACAATTGAATTGCTAGCACGAAGGAAAAGAAAAACCAGGGGGGCATTAACAAGTTTTGGGACCAATTCAACTTTTTTATTCAGCTCACTCTGAGGATGATCTCGCTGTGAAAGGAAACAACTATGGCGAAGATAACAACTATGTTACCAAGCCTGTTTTTTTCCATGCCATGAAAATTCGAAATTACTGTATGCATACGATGGTGATATTTTGCTTAATGAGCCTTCATAGAGGGGAGATATCCAAACAATCATATTGCTTTTATAAGCAGACCCTGAAATGCTCCATATAAATAACTGCCTTTCATACTAACCCTTGTTATTTTTTATCATTAAGTGATTCTTGAAATACAAAATCAAATTAAATTTAGCCGTTCGTACTCGTAAGCATCATCAACAACGAACTTTCATTGTCTTATTGTTTTCACACTTGTGATAAGACATTGTCACTTGAGACTTAAAATAACGGTCCAATTTAACGGTCACTGGTTGTCTCTCTGACGTGACCACGCAACGTCACGGCATAGAAGGGCCCTCTTCAGTTAGAATTGGTAACCTGCTTTTTGATCTCCCGGCGCCAGCAAGAAATTTTGTTCGACTCATTGAAAAAACGAATAAGAAGATTATTAATAAAAAGCATGCTCTGGTTTTCAAACAAACTTGCATAAAAGAAAAGCTTATGCCGAACTATACCAATCTTCAGTTAGACAAAATAGTTTGTCCTACACGCTGGTCACGCTACACGGTTCATTGACATCGAGTGCCCTATCATCTCATCCCGGCATCTATTAATATGGTTGAAACTATTATAAATATTCTAATAGTATCATGATCGTATTCAATGAAAGTGAAACACGTCTCACGACCTTTGTTTTCATTAAAGCCTTCTTGATTGCGTAACCGTGACTTGATCTGAAAGACCAATTCACTCTTGCACAATGACGCCGCTCCTGCATTTTTTACTTGGTTTGCGTGGGGTCGCTTTCTGGGACCATACTTTCAAAATTCGCTAAGTGAACGTAAGTACTTACGCTCTATATTCTTGTCTATAATTGGTGGATTTTGCTTGAAAGGCCGTCAATGATTGGCTGATGAACTTACGAACACTTAACTTTTTTTAAAGTATAGGCCCTGATCTTGGGCACGCGAATCTTGTAAAATTATTCCTCTGATCGTTAGTTCGCAGGAAATGGTCACAGGAAATTAACTTTGGTTGTTTTCATGTATTAAGTTTGTGAACACTGAATAGAAATGAATTCACAATAGGTATTTTAATCTTGAATGGACATTGAGGGATTTTTTTAAGCATATTAAAAGATAACTAATTTCTGGTATCGGCTAACGATAGTATTGCTCCGAAACATATTAATCCCCTATAATACACAAGAAACCGTATTTTGATCATTTATTTGAATGCTGGAAGTAAACAACGCTGTTCATGATTCTTCGGTGCTGTGATATATACATCACCTTCAATGAATGTTTAAGACTTCAAGACTCGAAAAAAGTTTAAAGACAAAATTTTATTACATGAGAAAATGTTGGAACTAAGCGAAGATACAGGCTAAGGTCAGTGGTCAGGTCTCTGAGGTCGTGGTAGGAGCGTCTTCAGAAGGTCACGAAGCTATCCTATTCTCTCAGAAGTTGCATCCTTCCCTCCCTAAAAGCCTGGCATCCTATGCAACATTTTGTTGAGAGGACTTCCACCTTCATGAGCCTCTGTAACGCTGCTAATTTTCACTGTCTGCGAAGTTCCAACGTATGACTGTATAAGATAATATGCGTTTTAGTCTGCTTTGTTCATGCCACGCCTCAGCCTTCCCAAGATGTTGCGACAAACTGGTTCACTTTCTCCACGCTCTAGATGGCATCAGCTGGGCAATGCTCGCTGTTTTGTCAACTCCCACGATCATATTTGATCCTGAATTATCCAATTATAGATTCTTATAACCTATATGTTTAAAATAAAAATATTTTTTCTTCTTCAAGCAATGCCTGCCGTTACTAATTTAAATTCTGCGCAGCCACTTGTTCGTTTCTTCTTTTTCCTTAAGCTGCCACATGTCCCGCATCCTCTTAACTTCGATCCAATGACTCGTTCTTCCATTAAAAAACAACTCGCATGTTATTCGGATGCGATAGAAATTGTTGGTGAATGTGATATGACACAAATGTTTGGGTCACGTGGCACAAGCCATTTAGGATTGCATTGGAAAGTTTGCATCAGACACCAAAGTTTGATCGTCCTGTGGAAAGATTGTTCTCGCTACGAAAGTTTGCAGAAGCTGCGCAGTGCAACTCTGCGTGTCCTTGACCATCTGGGGCCGGTCCATAGAGTCGCTTGGTCGGTAGAGGTTGTTCTGGAAGTCAAGTAACGTATTCTCTACATCGGAACACACATTATTAACGCTTAAATGTTCAGCTTGTGATTACTGGGTTTTTCCGTCGTGCCAAGTCAAAGATCTTGTCTATTTATCGATACATTTTTTTTTTTTCATTTTGACCTATTCAATTCAAGTGACACTGAGGATCAGAGGTTCCAAGTGATCTTCCGAATAATTTTTATAAGTTGTTATTTATTAATAAATATGCTCGTTTGTATTAATCAGAAACAAAAAGGTTGAGACTCTCAATCACTCTCACGGCAGCTTCGCCTGCAACTTGTCTCCTTTATGAAGCATTTTTCGTCAACGTCACGAATTGTTGATTTTCTTCTTGTTAAAATTTTAACGCGGCTTTTACATTCATAAAAATTAATGTCATATTGACCGGATATTGAAACATTTTCATAGCCACAGCATGAACAGTGAGCGGACGTAGCACTGATATGCCCTTTTCCGGGCCCAACTGGGCGAGAATTACTTAAACAAGGGAAAATAGTGCATCGCTATTTGGTTAGTCTCACTCATTTCTTTGAGTGCATGTACAAAATATTTTTTTAACATTTTTTTATCCAGCTCGGACTAAGCTTCCGAACGAGCGTTTTGCTTGCTTGCGCTGGCGTGCACGCAAAGGTCACTAGACCATCGCCCCCACGTGCGCCCTTATGGTCAAAAGGCCGGACCCTGCAGAGGCTTGGGACTCTTATGCTGTACATTTATTCCGTTTGTTGAACTGACGGCCATTGAGTAGATTTTAGTTCCATGACTTGCCGCTGTGATTTGTTTGGGACTTCAGCGTTTTGCTAAGGACTGTGTTTTCCTGTTTTGTTTTGCAGGAGATTTGCTCTATAATATTTTGTTCAAACTGACGGCCATTTAGTAGATTTTAGTTCCATGACTTGCCGCTGTGATTTGTTTGGGACTTCGACGTTTCCCTTAGGACTGTATGTGTTTTCCTGTACTGTTTTGCGGGAGATTTGCTCTACAATATTTTGTTCAATCTGTCAGTGAGTAAATCTTATTTTAACTAACGTTCAGTTTGGTTTATTTGAAACTGTGAATGTGACTTGTTGATGGACTTCATGATGGATGTTGCATGTGTTATAGAGAGTTGCGGCTTGCAAGTTTAAATAGTCAGAAATTTTTAGACGTTTAAAGTTTCAATTTAATCACTTTTTGGAGGCTTTGTGGCAGATATTATTAGGAAAGTAATAGACGTAGACAGTTTTCTTGTCCAGTTGAAGTTAATGTTTGCAATTAATTATTATTAAATTGCCTGATAAAATTTGTTTATAATTCTAAAAAAATTTCGCCGTTCACAAGATACATGAAGGCTTTTTGAGCTCGCAGCAGTCGCTGTGAATTTTTTTCTATGATTTATTAAAAGTTATACAAAAATGTGTCAGGAGATAAAAAGTTCTTGATCGTTTTTACAGCTGAATGCGGGTCGGCGAATGGACACTTCGGTATCCTCGCTGACCTGAGAGCATAAAGTTTTGATCGAAATGTCTTCATACATTTGTCTCAAACTAGTTGATGAATAAAAATACTATTAACCCAAGTAATTCTTAGATATTTACTTATAAATATCTGACTTCGAGCATTAATCTCAGGTATTTTAATATCGCAAAAATGTCGCCTTATTTGTCACCGAAAATATATTCATGTAAAGTTTGCATTTTGTTTCGATTGAATGAATTTCAAAAAAAGGCTACGTGTCAGCTAGAGGAAAAAATTGCACGTTTTCATGAATTACATTCGAACCTTTGAGCTTCGAACTTGACGAACATTTTTTAGCTTGTAATGGAAATTTCGAAAGTACAATTTTTGTGAAAGTACAATTAATAAAGCCTGGTAATGAAATTGTCTAGCAACTATCGAATTTTTTAGTAAAGAATCGATAAGCTCTCGGTCTTCATGAAGTTAATTGAGGCAATTACTAATGAATAAATTTCAAATTTAGGGCTAGAGTTCCAGTTATATATTGTTCGTTATATTTTACATATTTGTTCTTTAACGAAATATTTATTGTTTCAGACTGATCAAGCTGCTGTTGCTGACGGCGCTGTGTGCGGCGTCTGCAGAGTAAGTGCAATTTTTTCGAAATACAAAAGCGTTGCAATATCCAAAATCTTTCTTGTCAGTCAAACAAATAATCATAGAAATTTTTTTAACCAATCCAATGCCAGTGAAATAACATTCGTCTTGAAAATCGTAATGTTTTTTTTACCATATCTTAGGTTAGAAAACGTACGGTTAACTTCCACCATTATTCTTTTCACATATCTTCCAATTCCTTCGAAACTTTCCATCTGAGCTTCAATAAAGTGATATTATTCGGTCCAGGGTTGGATTTATTTGATCACACCACCGTGCGTTCAGTTCAGAGTGAAGGCAATGAGGGTAATGATGAGGGACTGTGAGGGTAATGATGAGGGACTGTGAGGGCAATTATGAGGGACTGTGAGGGTAATGATGAGGGACTATGAGGGTAATGATGAGGGACTGTGAGGGTAATGACGAGGGACTATGAGGGTAATGATGAGGGACTGTGAGGGTAATGATGAGGGACTGTGAGGGTAATGATGAGGGACTGTTAGGGTAATGATGAGGGACTGTGAGGGTAATGATGAGCGACTGTGAGGGTAATGATGAGGGACTGTGAGGGTAATGATGAGGGACTGTGAGGGTAATGATGAGGGACTGTGAGGGTAATGATGAGGGATTGTGAGGGTAATGACGAGGGACTGTGAGGGTAATGATGAGGGACTGTGAGGGTAATGATGAGGGATATGAGGGTAATGACGAGGGACTGTTAGGGTCAAGCTACGGGATTTAAAGAGTAATGCTATATAGTACGCAGTTGTAGTTTTCCCGAATTATGCTATTGAAGCGTTGAAAAGATGGGTGTATAGTTATAAATTATCATCATTTGATTGCAAAATAGATTGTATGAAAATATGTGATGCAGTTGAGGAACAGTACTCGCGAAAACATTTTGAGTGCAAATATAACTTTATTATCTTCTCTGTTTTGATGCAAGACTCTTTATAATTTAGTAGAAGATGTTTTAATAAACATCATGTGTAAGACCCACCATGCTTGACGAGAAAAAGATTTTTTGATTTCATTTTTTATCTCATTAACTTAATCGTATTTATTATAATTTATATCTATTGCAGTTGTGGAGATCTTCTTCCTGAACGATGATGATCAATATCTCCAGATCGAGATTGCTCCGTAAGTGCTACTGATTAAAAAACAGCGTTTGAAAGTTCAATATATTTAGAAAAATAATTGTAATTCATGCACGCACGAGCTTGTATGATACAGGCTCTATACGACCAGAAGGCATCAAAGAATGCAGACGATGAAGGTATTAATGAACCTTGTGAATGAAATTAGCTGAATTTGATTTGAGCACAATGATCAGCTCTCGGGTTACTGGAATCTATCGTTGTTGTATATTTTGTAAGGAAGAACAATATCTATATTTGTAAGCAAGTGAGATCTTAGGATCTGATCTGATACCATCACAACGATTTGCTTAAGGCTGGTCGTGGGGAATAGTTTGTTAAGTTATTGGGATAACGGATTGCATCGTTATTATAATTTAAAAACTGTTAAATACTCGTAAAGAAGAAAAAATTCTAGGGAAATGAGTAAATAAAAGGACAATTGTTTGTTCCCGGCAGTCGGGGGAATAGTTTGTTATATTATTGGGTTAACCGAATTTATCGTTATTATAACGATAAAACCTGTTAAATATTTTCAAACAATAAACAATCCCAGGGAAGTGATTCAATGAAAGAACATTTGTTTGTCCCTGGGAAGTGACTCAATAAAAGGACAATTGTTTGTTCCCGGCAGTCGGGGAGAATATTTCGCGATGTTGTTTGCTCAAGGCTGGTCGTGGGGAATAGTTTAAGTTATTGGGATAACGGATTGCATCGTTATTATAATTTAAAAACTGTTAAATACTCGTAAAGAAGAAAAAATTCTAAGGAACTGAGTACATAAAAGATAATTTTATTTGTTCCCGGCAGTCGAGGGGAATATTTCGTGATGTTGTTCGATGGCGTGCGCAACTACCGCCGTCACTCACTGCCCCTGCGTGTGATGTCTCGTAGCGGTGACCTGCCTTCACCATACTGGACGGCTACCATCATCCTACCTACAGACTACCTTCCTCGCCAGGTATGGGCATAGGCAACCATCATCCTACCTACAGACTACCTTCCTCGTCAGGTNTCACTGCAGTGATGACAGATAGCGCATTTTCTCGACGACGAAAACACGAAGTCCCGGACGGACAGACAGACGGACATGACTAGCACAATAGGGCATTTTTTTCATAAATTAGAAAATGCGCTAAAAATTAAGAGATCGTAAGTTCATCAGCCAATCATTGACGGCTTTTCGAGCAAAATCCACCAATCATAGACAAGAAATTAGAGCGTAAGTACTTACGTTCATTTAGCGAGTTTTAAAAGTATGGCCCCTGGAGGCTGCATAGCGTATTACCGCAGAATATTTTAACCTTCTACCGTCGTATGCCACTCTCCGGGAACATAACTTTCAACTTAAATTATATATGAACTATTGAGTGTAGCAACCTGAGAACATTTGTACACAACAGAGAACATTTTAAAGTTGTACGTGGCGGCAACCATCAGTGCAAGTCACTTTGCGCTCACTAGAACGTATCCTTTTTGTGAAGTGCGCTTGTGACAATATTGCTCCGGTTACTCATGTCAGGCGATAGAGGGTCAAGTCGAGTGTTTTTTTTAGATATAAGCATTCTTAGGATCTAGACAAAATTTACATATAAACATTGCACCTTGCTCAAGATGAACGTGCAATTAGATTTACAAAATAATCAACTTGGTCTTTACTACAGTTAATGTCCTTAACTGACTTTACATGTACTTCTGTACTCGCAGGTGACCAAGTTCAACATGTATTCAACCCACGGCGAAGAACCTAACCGCGTGTACGAGGCGTACTCCCCTTCTCTCGCCACCGCCGAGGGTCCCGACTAGTGAGTGGCTCTTGTATTCGTTCAGTAAAATGAATGGGTATAATTGTTCAAATAGTGACACACTTTCTTACCCGCAATACGAGGTGAGAGCGGACGTAGCACTGATACGCCTTTAAGCCGACTAGTGAGTAGCTCTTGTTCAGTAAAATGAATGGGTCTAATTGTCCAAATAACACCACACTTTCTTACCCGCAACATGAGCTAAGAGCGGACGAAGCACTGAAACGCCCTTTAGCCGACTAGTGAGTGGCTCTTGTATGCGTTCAGTAAAATGAATGTGTCTAATTGTTCAGATAGTGACACACTTTCTTACCCGCAACATGAGCTAAGAGCTGACGTAGCACTGAAACACCCTTTAAGCTTTTTCAAACAGTCAGGGTGATCCACAAAAGCAGAAAAAGTGTATCAGAATTCGGACGAAGTTTCCTTTACTTCTCTCAGTGGCGGTGGCGGCACAGGTTCTTGCGGGACGTAAAAATTAACTTGTTTTACTCGAAGTATTTTGATTTTGTTATGAAAATTGTTTCATAATTTTAAATAAGGTCATCTGATTTCAGGTTTGATTCTCTTCAATCTAATATTGCTAGAGTTGATTATCCTATATTATTGAGAAATTGTTCAAAATATGCCTTTGTAGACAATATATTCTCTTTTTTACCATAGAATGTTGATATGTTTCCATCTTACGTATTATATTTTTAAATATTGCTCTGATTATCTGCGACAAAATTTCCGTAACTTGATTTGTTTGAATATCAGTTTCCAGCAGTTGCGGGAGGAATGTATTTAGGAATACTTCGTGATGTTGTTCGATGATATTTACTAAAAATATAATCTTTTTGTTACTCTTCCAGCCACCGCCTCGACTCCTTCGCGAGCATCGACCTGGACTCTGTTATACGGGGCCTCAGCGAGCGCCCCATGTCGCAGCTCTGGGTGGACACTCTGCAAGGGTGAGGAATTCTCCCAGTAATACCAAATAATAGTTACTTTTGTTAATTAATTTACGTTACTATTAATTACTTCTGTTAATTTACGTTACAATTGATTATTTTTGTTAATCTACGTTACAGTTAATTACTTTTTTATTTAATTTACGTTACAATTAATTACTTTTGTTAATTATTATACGTTAACAATTTACATTGTTAATTGTTACGTTACCTATAATTACTTCTCCAATTGTAACTTTACTAATAATTACTTTTCCATTAATTACTCTATCAATAGTTACTACTTCAATAGTTATTAAACCAATAGTTACTTCGCTCATCTTCATTTTACAACGCCACATGTGATAAGCAGTGTTGCACATGTGGTACGTGGTGCAATATTTTGTGCAATATTGTGAGAACCTTTTTGTAGGGCGGCGTTTTCTACGCTAAAAATAATGAGAATAAAACGTGAAAATATCTTTAGATATTGTTTTGCAGAAGTTGTTCCTCTGTAAAAGTTCGATTAAAGACTAGAAATTGAAATTTATTAACAGTTTTCGTCCTAAAATTTTTTTTAACAAGTTGAAAGACATTTCTCGCTGGTGTGTGGGTAGATAAAACAAATATAACTCAGTACTCACTGCAGTGAGTGACAGATAGCGCATTTTCTCGACGACGAAAACATGAAGTCCCGGACGGACAGACAGACGGACATGACGAGCACAATAAGGCATTTTTTTCCATAAATGAAAAAATGCGCTAAAAATTGTATCTTATCAAGGAATTTTGTCATCATATTGAAAATTTTTTTGTTTATTCATGCAGGCGCATCCGCTACACCCTGGGCACGACCTGGAAGGGCGAGCAGAGCCCGCGGGTGGCAGCTACGGTGCTGCTGCAGGAGGACGAGCCTGACGACCTGCTGATGACGGTCACTGCTGAAGGAGGCGCTGCAGAAGATGGTGGGTTTCGTTATAAATTATGTGTCTTTTATATTACATTAAAAAGGGTTATTATGAAGTGATTGGTTCACAGTCGCGAGGCGCTGCAGACGATGGTGGGTGTAGTTATTACTTAGATGTCTTGTATATTATATTAAAAAGGGTTATGGTGGGTTTAGTTATTACTTGAATGTCTTGTATATTATATTAAAAAGGGTTATTATGAAGTGATTGGTTAACAGTCGCGAGGCGCTGCAGACGATGGTGGGTTTAGTTATCACTTAGATGTCTTGTATATTATATTATTATTATGGGGTTATTAGGGGTTATTAAGGGTTATTATGTTTCACTTCATAAGGGTTATTATGAAGTGATTGGTTCACAGTCGCGAGGCGCTGCAGACGATGGTGGGTGTAGTTATCACTTACATGTCTTGTATACTATATTAAAAAGGGTTATTATGAAGTGAATGGTTCACAGTCGCCCAATTGAGACGTTATGTACATTTGAGTTATAGCTGAGAAGTGACATTTACAATTGTCAATATATTAATAAATGAATCGCTTTCATACGTACATAGAACATGAACACATATTTCTCTAATTACATGTAGCTATAGTCAACAATAAACTAAGCGTACTAAATAAAAACTATTACACTTATTACATCATGCACGAACGCATATATTGTTATAAACATTGAGAATGAATTTAACGGACGAGAATTAATTAATGACGAACATTTCTGTGCAGAGTTCAGGGCCGTGTTCCTGAACAGCGACGACTTGTTCCTTGAGGCCCGCTTCGGACCGTGAGTGTTCTCACATAATAATAAGGCTTAGAACAAGTATAGGAATTCATATTAATTATACATTTTTGTCCTAATAAAAATTATTTCCATTCTTGATATTTATAAAAAAAATCAATTTAGTAGCAGGACTGTAATGAAAATATTGTACTATACTCTGAAAACAGTTGTAGTGTCCAGCGATCGAAACAGCACGCAAGAGCCCTTTTTATTGTTTTTGGCTAAATCGCAGAATAATTTGAAAATAATTGTCATTCCATGTACTAAATTTAGTGTGATGCTTGTATAAATTTGCAGCGGCAGTCGCAGCCTCTCCTTGTCACTGCTGTCACGCAGTAACGAGTATTGTTATTAATTGTTGTAATTTTTATTCCATGTATTTAATTTAATTGTTATTCCATTCTTGTATAACTTTGCAGCGGCAGCAGCAGCCTGTCACTGTCACTGCTGTCACGCAGCAACGAGTACCATCACCTTCATGTCACGTTACCTGTCAACGTTGTAACATCTACCAACGCTACCTCCTGGACTGCCGCTGCTACCATACCACGGGACTACTTACCACCCAAGGTAGCAACTCCAGTTCTGATATATTATTTATTATTAAAATACTACATTATTTACTATTAAAATAATACATTATTTATTGTTAAAATAATACATTATTTACTGTTAAAATAATACATAATTTATTGTTAAAATAATACATCATTTATTGTTAAAATAAGACATTATTTACTATTAAATTAATACATTATTTATTATTAAAATACTACATTATTTAGTAATTATGTCATTCATAATTAATGGTTCGGTCTGGTTTCAAATCCTGCAAAAACATTAATATAGTTTTGCTGTTGTTACCGAGTCAAATGTTGAATGACGGTAAATCTTAAAATGTTATTCTTAGATAAGAAAAATTCTTAGATTTTTAAAGGATTTTAGAATTGTTCAAAGCGAAGTATTCTCATTTAATCTCAATCTTTCTGAAGAATAGTACCAAATTATCAGGTTATTCAATGTACTAATGAAATAGTCAATAAAGTTAAGGTGAATAAGTAATTAATCAATAAATAACTAATAATAAGTAATTAGAATTTTGCCCTTCAGGTTAGCCGCTTTAACGCGTTCCTCACGCCTGCCTCGAGGGAAGCTCCCCTCGCTCTCTACCCTCAGCTGCCCTCTGATACCCACGTGCAGTAGTGAGTACATTTTTCATTTTTATGTAGAATTATTTCCTCTATGCACTGAATATATGATTGCCATTGAATACATACGTAACATTGTTACTCATCTGAAAAATAAGTGCAGTAGTGAGTACATATTTTATTTTTATGTAGAATTATTGCCTCCATGCAGTAATTATATAATTGCCATTGAATATATACTTAACGTTTAATATTCATATTTCTTCGTTCATATTTCTTATTTCTTCGGTGCAATAAACAAATAATTTCCACTTGCTACTCAAGGTTTCTCATGAAGCAATTTAATTTCTACGTAAAATGAGAACTTATCGCGCGCTGATGGTTTCAAGGATTGATCTAATTTGTGCATGTAATTTTAATGCGTCATTTCTTTTACAAACAAAAAAGTTTTTAATAAAGGATTTTGCTATATAATAATAAATTTTTTATAATACGGATAACCTCCTATAATATTAGTTTTAGATTTAAGCTCTTGATTCCAAAATTGCATCAAAATCCGATCCAAATTAAAGAGAATAATTTACTTAAAACTCTAATGTAACAAACTTGAGCCCAGAAAATTGTGTGATTTTTATTATAAAAATGAACATTAATATTTAAATTGTGACTTGCTTTCTAGTTTTTATTTGTACTTGTTTCACAGCCACGCTCTACATTACTATAAACCGATCGACCTTTGTTTGATTTTTATTATAAAAATGAACACTAATATTTAAATTGTGACTTGTTTTCTAATTTTTATTTGTTTTACAGCCACGCTCTGCATTATTATAAACCGATCGACCTTTGTTTGATTTTTATTAAAAAATGAACACTAATATTTAAATTGTGACTTTTCTAATTTTTATTTTAACTTGTTTCACAACCACGCTCTGCATAAACCGATCGACCTTTGTTTGATTTTTATCATAAAAATGAACACTAATATTTAAATTGTGACTTGTTTTCTAATTTTTACTTTTTTCACAGCCACACTCTGCATTATACTATAAACCAATCGACCTTTGTTTGATTTTTATTATAAAAATTAACACTAATATTTAAATTGTGACTTGTTTTCTAATTTTTACTTTTTTCACAGCCACTCTCTGCATTACTATAAACCGATCGACCTTTGTTTGATTAGTTCTGCCCGGCCAGAGCCAGCGTCCCATCTCCCTCGTGTGGCTCAACACGCTGCAAGGGTGAGTTGGGTTTTCATAAAATTCATAATGAAATTAATAAGAATTCATAATGAAAATGATGAAATTCATAGGAATTTCATCTTCGTGCGACCCCTCAGTTAGAAAAAATTCATAGAAAAATTAAATGGTCCATGAAAATCCATTACCTGAATTCATTGCATAAAACCCCACACAAATACTAGAAATTTCCTCCAAAAGAGCAGTCACAATAAAACTGAGGCTGACAATACGCGTGTGCGTACTATCGTTATGACTCACAAACGTTCGAAGATGTCATCAACGCCTGGTCAATGGTCAGTAATTAACCACACCATACCACTTGCCATCGCGGTTCTATCTTTCTAGCTATCCTGAAATCTTTTATTTAAATCCAAATGAGATAATTAACATTCTAAAGTGCATTATATTCTGATCAGTTCTCGTCAATTGTACTGAAATTATGCTCCAGCGACCGTTCGAAACTATCATTATGTGCAATATTTATTTATATTTATTTAAATGTAAAAGTCATTGCTCCATAATATACTGTTGCTGTTTTTTACTGTTTCAATATGCTGTTTCACTGTACTGTTGTTTTTGCGTGCAGAATTTATCGCTACGAGATAAGGACGGAGTGGAACGGCATACCTATCGCTGACCGGCCACTGGCGACCATCACGCTCGAGGGATTTGAGGTGATCAAAGAAACTAGATTATTACTTTAATGTGATATATTTAATCGTACCTTAATATTAAAAAAATTAAAATTACATTCAAAATTATCTCATTATTTCTGAGTGAGATCTTTATTCGTACCTTGATTTTGAAATGCATTCAAGGTTATCTTTTTGATTCTCTAATCATATTTTCGTTCTTACTAGAAGTTTACTATGGCTTCAGGATCAGGTACGACGTTTCATACAGTGAGAAAAAAAATTAATGAACAATATATGACGATAGCAGTGCTTGTATACATAGTTTGTTTTCGTTGCCCAGGCCGGAGTGGAAATGAACGTCACAGCTCCATTTTTCAACGACCCTGAACCTAACGGCCCTGCAGGCAAACCATTTCCTGTTCTCTTCAATTATGAAGGTGAGCACAACCGCGAATAAAAACCGATATTTTGTGCTACGTGAACTTCTAACTTAACTAATAAGCGGTACTTGTACATATTACTAATATGTCCCGTATAGATGTCATTCCTCCAATTGCGTTCGTAACTCAAACAATTTTATATCTTCACTCGTTCTTTGTCAACGCATTTGTGTCAATTTCTCCTTGAGTTGCGTTCTAACTTATATATGAAGTTGCGTTCTTGACTTATACTTGCGTTGAAGTTGCGTTCTTGACTTATAGTTGCGTTCTTGACTTATGAAGTTGCGTTCTTGACTTATAGTTGCGTTCTTGACTTATGAAGTTGCGTTCTTGACTTATAGTTGCGTTCTTGACTTATAGTTGCGTTCTTGACTTATGAAGTTGCGTTCTTGACTTATAGTTGCGTTCTTGACTTATAGTTGCGTTCTTGATTTGCGTTCCTTGCAGTCGTGGAGATGTTCTTCCTGAACGACGCCAACGAGTACCTGGAGGTGGAGCTAGGACCCTGGGGGCAGCATCTTGTGTTGCTGCTGAAGGGGGAACGCAACGCCATCAGGAAGGAGCTGCCGCTAGACTATATAGTCACCACCCGCACCGCGGGCACCAATGGACAGCCTGTACGTTACTGGCAACTAACTCGAACGATAGACTGGCTTTAATTTACGTAGGAATAACACATAGAGATTGGATTAGTACTTATCGAGGAATGGCGGATTAAACTAAGGTAGGGAGATCACTAAAGCATAGGGAAATAATAAGGTAGGAAGAACACTTATAAAAATGAAATGGTTTAACTCCGAGGTAGGGATGACACTAAGGTGTAGGGAAACAATAAGGCAGAGAGAACAATATGGTAGAAATACAGCTTAATTATTCTAATTTATTCACAACACTTGGACGGGATATAACACTTAGGTAGGAAGAACACTTGCGTGAGAATTGAAAGTTATCAGGAATATCACTTTAATATGAGTCATGATTGGATTGTTCGAGTATATTTTCAATTATTGGAAAATTAGGAAGTTGAGTTGTTCGACTCAATTGAATATTAACTGCATGAAGTTGTTTCTATCTGAAATAAATGTAACATAGTTTGAATGAAAAATATTTTTAATGAAGTTCACGATTACTTTTATTCTCATTGAAACATCATGGCGTGTGAAATAATTGTGATTTTTCTTATATAAAATTAAATTAGGAGTGAACTGTTATGAAACATGAGAATGGTAAAACTAAACCAATTTCATTTTGGTCTAAACTGACTTCTGGAGTTTAGTTGAACGAACATAAAGCACCACTGGAGCTTACCCATTACATGATCCTGCATGCGATAATTCACGCCGAATGATATTTATAGCATGATGATGATAGTCGATAGTTATTTGGATAGCATAAGGATGATTGCACTCGATAGTTGGAATCGCGGTGCTTTGGAATTATCCGTAACTATTCACTGCTCCATCTTCCCAAACAAACTTTTATTTAATAATTTAATAACACGAGTGAATTTTTTTATTTTAAATTGTATCGTATTTTGCAGGGCACATGGCATGGCTCCGCCTTGATCCCTCCTGGGTACTTCCCGCCAAATGTGACGCGCGTGAACGCCTTCGCCATCCACGGCCAAGACGACGAAAGGACCTACGAGGCTCTCTATCCTGCGCCTACCAACGACCCCAACTTCCCACAAGCGGACTTGTGAGTATTTGAATATTGTGTCATGTGTATGAACTTCTTGTAATGTAATGTGATTGGGCAGGAACCCTTGTAATGACCTCTCTTATGAGTTTAAACGCTATCACGCGCTAACCTGTTTTGTGTCATGTATATGAATTCTATCTCAAGTTGACCTCTCGTATGAGTTTAAACTCTATCGCGCGTTAACCTGTTTGTGTAATGTGTTTGAACTCTCATGGAAAGAGCCAAAATTTCTGCTCGTGCTATATGCCTCATCTTCTACTTGTTGTCGTACTGCCAAATATTTATATTGAACCTAAACACCGGTGGAGTAGATTCTACACAAAAAAAACTTGGAATTGAAACCTACACTTGAAAACTTGGAAAATTTCCAGCCTCTCATAGATAGCGCTATCTGATCCAAAAGAAAGAGACAGCTTTGATACTGTACTGATATTCGTGGTTATTGATGTTGCTATTCCTTCTACAGCCACCGACTGGAGTTGTTCAAGCCGATCGACTTCAAATTCCTGGTTGTGGACAACACCAAGTATTCTGACCTGTGGCGTGAGAGCATTGACGCGGCGGAGCCCACAAAGCCTTTGCTGAAGACCTCTTTGTTCACCTCCGTCGATGTCGCTGATGACTCCACACTTGGGGCTGAACTGGCAAACTCCAATGCTGGACCTTCAGATTCGGTGCCGGAACCTGAACCCGAACCTCAAAGTAAACCTAAATTTGAGCAGGAGTCCGTAGCCCTTTCCGCCCCCGATTCTCTTCTGGATGCGGTCCCGGTCGATGTCTTTGAATTTACCACTGAGCGAGATTTCGGAACTACTCCAGTTACTGACGTGCCGGAAGTTACACAGCAAGTGATTCCAAGCGAAGACTTCGCATCAGAACTTCTTCTTGATACCAACGCTGCAGTCGCTGCACCTGTTGTCTCTGACGCTACTGATGCTCCGGTATGTAAAAATGTGTGCTGAGTAAGTTTTGTTGATGTGCTTGAGCAGTTTTCTTTTATATCACTAGCAAACTGGCATCTATCAAGAATTTTTTTCTTGTCAGGAGAAATTTGTATTGAATATTTTACTGGCTCGAAACCCTAAACACTGTACCTCATTACTTATTCCCCTACTGTCCAATCAAAAATACATGATACAGATTTTCAGAAGCATTTTTGTTTAGAAATTTTTGATTAAAAATTTCGGTCCAATTAGCAGTTGCCACCAGTTACGTCTCCAGTTGAAAAGGACTCCATCCCCGTGGCCTCCAAAAGTTCCCAAGCGTGAGTTTATTAAGGAAAAATTAGCCACTCCCCTGTTTCTTCTTACATTAGATTTTAGTAGTCAACCTAGTGTGAATAATTTGGCATCAAAGGAAATTTTTAATTCAACTTACATTTTGTTGGTTAAATTGAGTTCCATTCCAGTTCCTAAGTAAATGCAATACTTCCTAACTGCCATACTTTCACAGAAAATGCAATGTAGGTTAATCATATGTTCTATACCTCTCCTTAAGTAGAGACTCTGCAGGTACATTACGTTGAAATAACGTTGATTAAGAGTCGATTTCGTTGAGACAACGTTGTTTCGACGTCAGATGCCTGGTTGGATACAAGTTTTCGAATAATCTAATAAATGCATAAATTAATGTAATAATTAATCGATGCTTATATCGATGTATTAAACACTTAAAAAATTACATATGCGTTAAATAATGCATAGAATGTTCTTGGTTTTTCAGGCCCGCCAACACCGACTACGTCTACGACATCAAGACAGAGTGGGACGGCAAAGCCATCACAGACCGGCCGCTGGTGTCGTTCAATCTCAAAGGATTTGAAGTGGGTCTATATACATTCCCTCAAGTTATAGTGACATTTCTTCAAGTCAGAGCATACATTTCCTCAAATCAGAGTATGCATTTCCTCAAATAAGAGTATGCATTTCCTCATGACAGTTACATTTTCTCAAGTTATAGCATACATTTCAAGTCAGTTTAGACATTTCATCATGTCAGAAAAAGACATTTCCTCAAGTCAGTATACATTTCTACAAGTAAGAGTGCACAGTTTCTCATGGCGGTATATAAATTTTTTCGTGTCGAAGTACGCATTACTTCAGGTCGGGGATATATTTTCTAAAGTCTAGGTATACACTTTCCCAAGCCCCAGAATAAACTTTCTCATGTAAGAGTTTATACTTCCACTAGTAAAATTATACATTTTCTTAAGGCAAAGTATAAATTTTCTCAAATCAGTCATTTATTTCGCGGATCCCTTACATGAAGGTCATATACTTCCAATAGTAAGATTATACATTTTCCTAAACATTTTCTAGAGGCAGAATGAAAATTTTTTAAAGCCAGTCATTTAATTCATTTGAGGATCCCTTACATGAAGGTTCGCGAAGCTTCCGGAAATCAATTTCGTCTGTCTTCAACTAGTTGCCTACATGCCAAAAATTGCAACCTCTGGAAATTTGAATTAATAAATTCAAATTCTTTATGACATTGAACAATAAGTTAGAGTTTTCACCCAACAATCGGGAATAGAGCTCAACGTCACAGCTCTGTTCTCCTGACTAATAAAATTACTTGTGTTAAAGTTCTGATTATATTAAAAGCGTTTCCGTTCTCAACGTCACAGCTCCGTTCATATTGACAAATCAAATTAATTCAGGTTAATTTTGGATTATATTAAAACCGTTTCCGGTTTTAATATAATCCAATATAATCCAGCTCCGTTCCTCTTGACTAATCAAATTTATATACTTGAGTTAAAGTTCGGGCCCATACTTTCAAAAAAAGTTAAGAGATCGTATAGTTCATCAGCCAATCATTGACGGCCTTTCAAGCAAAATCCATCAATCATAGACAATAAAATAGAGCGTAAGTACTTACGTTCACTTAGCGAGTTTTGAAAGTATGGCCCCAGATTACATTGAAACCGTTTCCGTTCCACCCAACAGGCCGGAATAGAGCTCAACGTCACAGCTCCGTTCTATAACGATCCTGCACCGACGGAAGACGATCAGCACAGTCTGTACATGTTCGAAGGTAAGCCCTCGACAGCCAGACGCTGTCATAAATTATTTTCCCCGTCAAGCCCAACGAAAAATAAAAATGAACATTAGTTTCTTACCGTACAATCACTGAGTATTGATTTTTTTGAGTCCACTTCTAGAACTTTCAACGGGCACTTTTCTGATAAAATTTTGGTGATGAAATTTGATCGCAAATTTCTCTCAAAATTACGCCTGTGGATTGAGTAGGGAGATGGGTTATTATTAAGTTAATCGCTTAACTTAATCAATCATTCGATCTAATTTTTTTGTAAAAAGTATTACTTTTCACAATATTCTTTCAGATTACTTCCCTGCTTTATTTGAAGTATGCGTTGATAACAATATCTCCTTTGTTATAAACAAAGCTATTCTTATCGTGATATGTTTTTTTTCTTAAGTATAATTGTTCATCCAATGTAATATAATATATTCATACATTAAGATCTATCATCAAATGGGTTTACTTAAGATCTTACTACTGAATAAAGCTACTTATATTATCAGTCTGCTTATATCGCAAATTCACAAGGAATTTAGAAGCAAAGAAAACGCCAAGCAAATTTACCATATCGATATTGAAAACGTTTTCAAAATCGACATGGTGAATTTGCTTTGCGTTTTCTTTGCTTTCAAATTACTTGTAAATGAAGCTAAAAAATACCTGTTCGATTTTCCAGTGTTCGAAGTATTCTTCTTGAACGACCGTGACGAGTATGTACAGCTGGTGCTCAGTCCATGGGGGCTGTACAGCATCTTCCTGTACAGAGCTGTAGGGAGTGAGAAGCAGAAGCTCAAGGTGCTGGATATTCCCTTGGATTTCATCATCACGCAGCGAGACGAGGGCGATAATGGCAAGCCTGTGAGTATGTTTTGTGGGAAGAAAGACGTACAATTATATTCAACTATTTACGCATGGAATTAGCTTTCATATGACACCATCATTGCGCAACTACACAATTAAATTAAACTATTGACGTATAGAATTAACGTTCATATGACGCAATCATTGCGCAACGAGACGGGGGCGAGAATGGCAAGCCTGTGAGTGTATTTTGCAAGAAGGCTGCTAGCATTATACTTTAATTTTCTAACTTTGTACTGAAGAGATTCAGTATTTTTTGTATGTGGTCCTCCCACATTGAAAAATCTTTACGACGATTTAGAAACTATGCATGAGAGAGGGTTGAATCAGAGGTAAAATACGTAGTGATCAGGGTTGTGAGTTTTCCCCTGGACTCCACCATCTCGGGAGTGGTCGGCGCTTGCGTGTTTTGTACTAGTTTTATCTTACGAAGGAAACCTATTGACATAGAGCTGTTCGAATAACTAAAATAAAACATAGTTAAATCCTGTTGAAATTAATTGATCTTGTCTTGTTACACACGCTGACTTTCGTATATTTATTTATTCAGTTTGAAGCAGCGTCGACCAGACTCTAGTGCAAATTTTTGTTCATCCTTCTAAGTAAATCTCTTCTGACTGCAAAATTTTATACGTTATAATCGTACAGAGTTCTGGTCCAATTATACCGATACTGACAATAGCTAATCAATAATATGTTTCATCACATTTTAAATTCACTCTTTCATACAACTGATCTACTAAAAAAACTGTAAAACTATAAACTATCTAACTAAAAAACAAACCATAGGGCCAGTGGCAAGGCTCAGCGCTGGTGCCGCCATCGCTGTTTCCCGCCAACGTGACGCGCATGAACGCGGGGGCCCAGCACGGGCTGGGGGGCGCCCGGACCTACGAGCTGCTGTACCCCGCCCCCGCCGGGGACCCCCGCTACCCCAAGCCCGACTTGTGAGTTGAAAATGTTCTGAAGCGTTGAGATGTTCGTTGAAAATGTTCTGAAGCTCCCCTTGTAAATCACNGCGTTGAAATGTTCGTTGAAAATGTTCTGAAGCGTTGAAATGTTCGTTGAAAATGTTCTGAAGCGTTGAAATGTTCGTTGAAAATGTTCTGAGGCGTTGAAATGTTCGTTGAAAATGTTCTGAAGCGTTGAAATGTTCGTTGAAAATTTTCTGAAGCGTTGAAATGTTTGCTGCAAATGTTCTGAAGCGTTGAAATGTTCGTTGAAAATGTTCTGAAGCGTTGAAATGTTCGTTGAAAATGTTCTGAAGCGTTGGAAAGTTTCTTTGAAAATGTTCTGAAGCGTCGAAATGTTCGTTGAAATGTTCTGAAACTTTGAGATGTTCGTTGAAAATGTTCTGAAGCGTTGAAATGTTCGTTGAAAATGTTCTGAAGCTTTGAAATGTTTGTTGAAAATGTTCTGAAGCGTTGAAATGTTCGCTGAAAATGTTCTGAAGCTTTGAAATGTTCGTTGAAAATGTTCTGAAGCGTCGAAATGTTCGTTGAAAATGTTCTGAAGCGTTGAAATGTTCGTTGAAATTGTTCTGAAGCGTTGAAATGTTCGTTGAAATTGTTCTGAAGCATTGAAATGTTCGTTGAAAATGTTCTGAAGCTCCCCTTGTAAATCACAACAATATTTGTGAGTTGAAATTTTGAGACCCATCTTCCAAAGAAATTAATTAATACGTAGATGCCAGTTTTTGTGCTAATACAAGCAACATAAACTGATCATTTCAGCGACTATCGCATTTCAATTTTGATTTCAGAGTTAATAGTTGCAGTTCATGTCTTTAGAAGGGTTACGCTCACCGTTTGTTGACTATGATTTGTGATCTGGCAAAGGTTATAAAGTCAAAGTTCATCATACTATTTATTCTAGGTTTGCAAAAGCATCGAAAATTGTTTAATTTAATTGCTTTGATAAGGAATTACTTTCAATTTATATTGACTCATTTTTGACGCATTATATTTAATTAAATAATAAAAATTGATATTTAATAATAATAATTAATCAACCCTATTCGTACATGTCTTACATTTTTTTCTTGTTCGGTACCTTCACCATCGTCAATTGTATCCACATTTGTTGCGTGCATCTCTGCAGCCACGCGCTGGAGCTCTTCCAGCCCATGCGGTTCTCTCCTCTCGTGCTGGACAACACGCAGTACTCTGAGCTGTGGCGCGACGCCCTGGACGCACCAGCTGCACTGCATCCAGCTGCACCGCAACCAGCTGCACCGCAACCAGCTGCGCCACAACCAGCTGCGCCACAACCAGCTGCGCCACAGCCAGATGAGTCACAGCCAGCTGAGTCACAGCCAGCTGCACCACAACCAGCTGCGCCACAACCAGCTGCGCCACAACCAGCTGCGCCACAACCAGCTGCGCCACAGCCAGATGAGTCACAGCCAGCTGAGTCACAGCCAGCTGCACCACAACCTGCTGCACCACAACCTGCTGCACCGCAACCTGCTGCACCACAACCAGCTGCACCACAGCCAGCTGCACCGCAACCTGCTGCACCACAACCAGCTGCACCACAGCCAGCTGCACAGCAACCAGCTGCACCATCCCACGCTCGCAATACCGACCAGCATCAAGTTAGTAATTTGTAGAGAAATCATATTTCATGACAACAATAAACCTCGCATTACTCATGCCATCAATGATCCGCGCATTACTTCTTGTATTACTTTGCCATTACATCGTAGTACTCATGTCATTGTTCTATTCATCATTGAAGAATAGAACCAATAACTTTCTGTTCATCCATACAGGCGCCTGCCCTCGGAACGCCCCTCAGAACTCACTGCAGTGAGTACTGAGTTATATTTTTATGGACTTTATTTACAAATTTTTATCTTATTGTACTTCTTTTCATGAGGTTAAGTTTGGACAATGTGCATTCGCGAACTAGCAGGAACCGCTTGTTAATTTATTATTGGAAAGAAAAGTGAGAATGAAATTTTTAAACAAAATAAGGCAAATTTATATTGATGTTTTGCGTTTTCAATCAATGTCATCTCCGTGATCCGGTTGCCAATATTCGGGTCATGCACTTTTCAAGAACCGAAAATAAAAAATTATGAAAATTAAGGCCTTTATAATATGGTTTTGCGTCTTCCTACACGTTAACAACAAATTCTCATAACAGGTCTTCAGTCTCCGACTACTTCTACGAGATCAAAACGGAGTGGAACGGCAAAGCCATCAAAGATCGAACTTTGTACTCCTTCAGCCTTGAAGGATTTGAGGTGCGTTCGCTATCATGAAAAACTTCATATAACTCATTTCATTTTAGGTGTGCTCACTATCACGAATGCATCATGATTTCACTCAGTCATGCAGTATATAGTTTTTTGTACGTGACTCAATACCATTTTAACTTATTTTTCTTTTTTGTATTTTGTTCTATAAGAGACTAATTATCAGGCAATTTGTAATCAGTCATGCTGTATATTGTTTTTTTGGACGTAACTGAATTCCATTTTAACCTATTTTCTTTTTGCATTTTGTTCAATATGAGACTAATTATCAAGAAATTTGGGATATTTTATTCGCATTTTACATGTCCTTTTATAATCATACCATGATTGATACTTTTTATGTTTTGGTTTTCCTTTTCAGGAAGGAGTGCAGGTCAACATAACTGGTCCATTCTTCGACGATCCTGCGCCCTCTGCCGATGGCCTGCATCGTTCTGATGAGTTCGAAAGTAAGTTTATTATCGTCATAATTATCGAAAATCCTATGTATGCCACGTACTATCAATAATAATCTGGATACAGACTAAAAATCGACCGCAACGTGTACTTTGGCCGCTATTTATACTACTACTACCATATATATACTACTATATATACTAAGTTTACTTAGGCCGCTATATATACTACGTGCAGTAAGTTTTGAGTAACTCCTCTTGTCCCAAAATTTACTTCCCGAAATTCAGTGCCGCATACGAATATTACGAAGGCCGCGCTTTGCAAATACCGCCATACGAATAGGGCGAAGTAAAATTATGCAATAATCATCGCTGAATTAATATGGTAGAGGCAGTGCCGTCCGAAGATTATAAAATGTCAGCTGCTCATCTGGAGTTTTCTCCTTCAGTGAAAGGCACAAGACAAAATATGAATCCAATATAAATTAGAAGCTATCATTTTGCTGTTTCACCATCAAAATGCACTCTGAATAATAATTTTTTTTGATTTGTCCTCAATTATTAGGATTTCAGTTTTATCAAGCGGGAACTCCTACATATAAATATTTTCGTGTAATTATATAATTTTTTTAGTCATTTCTTCATGTAGCATGTCTCGAGTTAATCATATATTGTTATTCTTTTTCCAGTTTTCGAGCTTCAATTTTCGAACGACCGCGGCGAGTCAGTAAGGCTCGTGTTCAGCCNCGTTATAATCGTACAGAGTTCTGGTCCAATTATACCGATACTGACAATAGCTAATCAATAATATGTTTCATCACATTTTAAATTCACTCTTTCATACAACTGATCTACTAAAAAAACTGTAAAACTATAAACTATCTAACTAAAAAACAAACCATAGGGCCAGTGGCAAGGCTCAGCGCTGGTGCCGCCATCGCTGTTTCCCGCCAACGTGACGCGCATGAACGCGGGGGCCCAGCACGGGCTGGGGGGCGCCCGGACCTACGAGCTGCTGTACCCCGCCCCCGCCGGGGACCCCCGCTACCCCCAGCCCGACTTGTGAGTTGTGAATGTTTTGAACATTTAATATTTTTATGCTGAATTTCCGCCCCCACTTAAAAATTCAATTATCTTGTACAAGGTTTAGTGAGTTCGTGTGAATGTTTGAGCATTTAATATTTTTGTTTATTTTCCATACCCACCCAAAAACTCAATTATCTTGTACAAGGTTTAGAGTGCGTGTGAATGTTTGAAGATTTAATATTTTTCTTCATTTTCCATCCCCACCCAAAAACTCAATTATCTTGTACAAGGTTTAGGGAGTGCGTAAGAACGTTTGAACATTTAAAATTTTTGTTTATTTTCCATTCCTCACCAAAAGAACTTGATCTGATACTAGAACTACCGAGTGCGTTAATTGTACAAATTAGTAGGAAACATTTTTGTGCCATTCAACCGACTCGTGCGATTTGTCAGTGAATTTTTTAAAACAAATTTGTCAGTGAAAGTTGAATTTGTCAGTGAAAAATTACCTGTGCCAATCGATCTAATTCAACGACCCTACGACCAAGTATAACAAACCCACTATCAATATGTTGAATATGCGTTAATTAATTGATCCAAGCATTAGTTTTCCTATGTGAAAAGCTGAAGTTTCTAGACTGCCCCAAAACCTGATGCATACCTATGCTTTATGAAAGAAGTTCTATTTAAAAATAAAACAAATAAAAAACTTTTAGACACCACGTTTTCTTAGCGGACAAAAAATAAAAACATTTACTCCTTCATAACATTACATAACTTTAATGTTATGTAAGAGTTAATGTTTTTCTTTTTTGTCCGGTAAGAAAACGTGGTTTATAAAAGTTTATTTTATTTGTTTTATTTTTAAATAGAACTTAACATAATATATTTTTATATATCAATGTGATGACACTTTTCTCGAAGAACACAATTTTGTTTATTGTGTTTTTGTTCAGCCACGCGTTGGAGTTGTTCAAAGAAGTGAACATGTCGGCTTTGCTCGAGAACAACGCGCATTACTCGGCGGTTTGGCAGGACGCTCTCCTGAAGGTCAGTTTCAGTGAACGATGTTCCTCGTTTATGCTATGCAATTATATATAATTATATATGATATTTCTTGCATTAAATTATATTTTTTAAAATTATATTACCATATATTTTTAGTATATAATATTATACATTGTATAAACGTTCATTATTCATTTGGCGCAGGTATCATTTTTTTGTTTCACTTTTAACTTTGAAAAATAGAGATTTTTTGCTCGTTCGATTGCGTACTGCAGATTTAAACAATCGTTAAAAATTTATTTGCACTAGACTACGGCTTCTGGCAATAACTTTCAGTTATTTTAGCGCCTGGTCCTTAGTTTTTTCCCGCCTCCTGAAATAGTGAGCAAAAAACGTCGTTGGAACGTTTAGTATTTTTGAAATTATCATCCGCATTATTTCGAGCCATTTTTATCTGCGCACGAGAAGCATGAATAAAACTGTATCTTTAAAGCTGAGTAGACTTTTCATTCCGACAAAATACCTTGAATGAGCGGAGTTCCTTCCAAGAATTTGTTATGTTATTTCAATGCCATTGTTATTTAATGATCCGTATTTGAGTAAAGGACGAATGATTCATTAAATGATTTATTAAATAAATGGATATAAAAAACAATTAATAATCACATGATCATTGCGTCAATATTGACCCGTAATCGCAAATATTAAGGAAAAATTAGCCACTTCGCTGTTTCTTCTTATATTAGATTTCAGTAGTCAAGCTTGTGGGAATAATTTGGCATCAGAAGAATTTTTTTACCTATGATAATATTTTGATGTTTATACTTCTATAATCCAGTTAAGTTCTATAGCAGTTACCGAGTAAATGCAATATTTCCTCACTGCCATACCTACACAGAAAAATGCAACGTAGGTTAATTATAAGTTCCATATGTCTCTATAATTAAGTAAAGTCTCTCCTGGCACAGTACGTTGAAATAACGTTTATAACGAGTCGATTTTGTTGAGACAACGTTGTTCCGACGTCAGATGCCTGGTTGGATACCATTTTTCGAATAATCTAATAAATGCATAAATTAATGTAATAATTAATCGATGCTTATATCGATGTATTAAACACTTAAAAAATTACATATGCGTTAAATAATGCATAGAATGTTCTTGGTTTTTCAGGCCCGCCAACACCGACTACGTCTACGACATCAAGACAGAGTGGGACGGCAAAGCCATCACAGACCGGCCGCTGGTGTCGTTCAATCTCAAAGGATTTGAAGTGGGTCTACATTTCCTCAAGTTATAGTATACATTTCCTTAAGTCAGAGCATGCATTTCCTCAAGTCAGAGTAGACATTTCCTCAAGTCAGAGTTTGCATTTCCTCAAGTCAGGGTAGACATTTCATCAAGTCACAGTAGACATTTCATCAAGTCACAGTAGACATTTCCTCAAGTCAGAGTAGACATTTCCTCAAGTCAGAGTAGACATTTCCTCAAGTCAGAGTAGACATTTCCTCAAGTCAGAGTTTGCATTTCCTCAAGTCAGGGTAGACATTTCATCAAGTCAGAGTAGACATTTCATCAAGTCACAGTAGACATTTCATCAAGTCACAGTAGACATTTCCTCAAGTCAGAGTAGACATTTCCTCAAGTCAGAGCATGCATTTCCGCAAGTCAAAGTAGACACTTCCTCAAGTCACAGTAGACATTTATCACGTCTGAGTATGCATTTTATCCAGTCAGAGTTAATATTTTCTCAAGTCAGTATACATTTTTACAAGTAAGAGTAGACATGTTCTTAAGGCAGGCCATAAATTTTCTCATGTCGAGTATACATTTCCTCAGGTCGGTTATAAATTTTCTCAAGTCAAGATATGCACTTTCCCAAGCCCCAGAATAAACTTTCTCAAGTAAGAGTTTATACTTCCACTAGCAAGATTATACATATTCTTAAGGCAGAGTAAACATTTTCTGAAGTCAGTCATTTATTTTGCGGATCCCTTACATGAAAGTTCGTGAAATTTCCCGAAATAAATTTCGTGCGTGTCAACAAGTTACATGACAAACGTTGCAACCTCGGGAAATTAAATAATTTAATTAAAATTCTCTATGACATTAAACAAGTTAAAGTTCTCACCCAACAATCGGGAATAGAGCTCAACGTCACAGCTCCGTTCTCCTGACTAATAAAATTACTTGTGTTAAAGTTCTGATTATGTTAAAAGCGTTTCCGTTCTCAACGTCACAGCTCCGTTCCTATTGACAAATCAAATTAATTCAATTAGATTTTTTATTATAATAAAAGCGTTCCGTTCTCAACCATAACAGCTCCGTTCCTCTTGACTAATCTAATTTACTTGAGTTAAAGTTCGGGCCCATACTTTCAAAAAAAGTTAAGAGATCATAGGTTCATCAGCCAATCATTGACGGCCTTTCAAGCAAAATCCATCAATCATAGACAAGAAAATAGAGCGTAAGTACTTACGTTCACTTAAGCATCTTCCTGTACAGAGCTGTAGGGAGTGAGAAGCAGAAGCTCAAGGTGCTGGATATTCCCTTGGATTTCATCATCACGCAGCGAGACGAGGGGGAGAATGGCAAGCCTGTGAGTGTATTTTGTGGGAAGAAAGACGTACAATTAAATTAAACTATTGACGTATAAAATAAACGTTCATATGACGCAATCATTGCGCAGCGAGACGAGGGGGAGAGTGGCAAGCCTGTGAGTATGTTTTGTGGGAAGAAAGACGTACAATTATATTCAACTATTCACGTATACTGTAGAATTAGCGTTCATATGACGCAATCATTGCGCAACGAGACGAGGGGGAGAGTGGCAAGCCTGTGAGTATGTTTTGTGGGAAGACGTATAATTAAATTCAACTATTTACGCATAGAATTAGCTTTCATATGACGCAATCATTGCGCAACGACACAATTAAATTAAACTATTGACGTATAAAATTAACGTTTATATGACGCAATCATTGCGCAACGAGACGGAGGGGGAGAATGGCAAGCCTGTGAGTATATTTTGTGGGAAGACAGACATACAATTAAATTAAACTATTTACGTATAGAATTAGCTTTCATATGACGCAATCATTGCGCAACGACAAGAGGAGATAGTGGTAGGCCTGTGAGTGTATTTTGTGGGAAGGCTGATAACATTATACTTTAATTTTCTAACTTTATACTGAGGAACTTCGGTATTTTTTTAATGTGGTCAACTTATATTGAGAAATCTTTAGGTTGAATTAAAAACTATGTGCGAGAAAGTGGGTTGAATCAAAGGTAAAATACGTACAGATCAGGGTAGAGACTTTTCCCTTGGACTCCACTATCTCGAGAGTGGTCGGTGCTTGCGTGTTTTATACTAATTGTATCTTACGAAGGAAACCTGTTGACGTAGAGCTGTTCGAATAACGAAAAAAACATAATTAAATCGTGTTGAAAGTAGTTGATCTTGTCTCGTTAATATGATATTTTATTTATTCAGTCTGAAGACATCGTCGACCAGACTAGTAGAAATTTTTCTCCATCGTAAAGTATTTTATATCTAATGAATCTAGCACGACGACATTGCGCGTAAATGCCCGGGATTGATAATTCCTGTAGTTTTAGAATCCTGTATCCTGAATACTAGTAATAATGATAAAAATGATGCAAATGAATCAAAGTTCAAACCAACATTTCACATGGAACATAGAAACTTACATTCGACTCCAGTTAAAAAATGTGGAAACAATAATACATTTTTTACATTTCCAATATAAAAATTAAATTTCAATCAATGGCGCAGTCTTTTCCTCGCAGTTTTGCGATGCCGTGCTATTCTCCTAAGTACACGCTTCAGTCTAAGTAATATCCGACTCGGCAAATACCCTGTATACGCCCCAACAGCACTTAATTATGCTGTGCGGGGCCAGGTTTCGCACACAAACATGGACAAATATACATAAGATTACTATATAAAATGCATCTTAACTCGTATGTTGTTGATGTTTCAGCTCGCTGTGCTACAGTCGCAGCATGTAAACACGCTCACCATCAACTTTATTTCGCTGGAAATTCACTGTTCGTGAGTAATTCGTCTTTAGAAAGTATATTTCTGAACAAAATGTTGCTCGTAAGTTCTNAATATAAATTAGAAGCTATCATTTTGCTGTTTCACCATCAAAATGCACTCTGAATAATAATTTTTTTTGATTTGTCCTCAATTATTAGGATTTCAGTTTTATCAAGCGGGAACTCCTACATATAAATATTTTCGTGTAATTATATAATTTTTTTAGTCATTTCTTCATGTAGCATGTCTCGAGTTAATCATATATTGTTATTCTTTTTCCAGTTTTCGAGCTTCAATTTTCGAACGACCGCGGCGAGTCAGTAAGGCTCGTGTTCAGCCCCTGGAGCGTATACAAGGTCGAGCTGCTGGCAGCACAGCGCGATGTGGTCAAGTGTGGTGGCGTAGAGCTGGAGTTCAGCATAAGTCAGCGCGACGTCGGCAAGAACGGCCGGCCTGTGAGTTGCTATATGATGAAGGGTTACCCGACGGTGGCACGAGAAAACGGCCAAATTAGCTTGCATTAGGCTAAAAAATATAACTCAGTACTCACTGCAGTGAGCGACCGAGAGCGCATTTTCTCGTCGACGAAAACTTGAGGTCACGGACAGACGGACGGACAGACAGATAGACAGACAGACAGACGGACATGGCGAGCACAATAGTGCATTTTTCCATAAATGAGAATATGCGCTAAAAAGGGTCTTTTTGGAGAGGTCTTCGAGTATTTGGGGCCTTAGAGGCTCCAAATTCAATATACATACATCAGTTTATATAGATTTTGCGAAGCACCAAAAATCGACCGCTACGTGTACTTTGGCCGCTATATATACCACTATGGTAAAAAAAATAAGTAAATAAATATAAACTTAACTTTCTTAAACTTTCTTAACAAGTCTTAACTTTCTTCGTACAAGTCATAATGAATTGATATTTCATGCGGTATTTTTAAGAGACATGTTGTAATATGCGGACGTTGTAACTATATACTACTATATATACTACTACTATATATATACTACTATATATACTAAGTTTACTTAGGACGCTATATATACTACGTGCAGTAACTTTTGACAGTACCTCCTCTTGTCCCAAAATTTACTTCCCGAAATTCTGTGCCGCATACGAATGTGACGAAGGTCGCGCTGTGCAAAATACGAATAGGGCGAAGTAAAATTATGCAATAATCATCGCTGAATTAATATGGTAGAGGCAGTGCCGTCCGATGATGATAAAATGTCGAAATGTTTTCTACTTCGGTGAAAGGCACGAGACATGTAGGCTTAGTTTTCACAATATAAATCCAATATAAATTAGAAGCCATCATTTTGCTGTTTCACCATCAAAATGCACTCTGAATAATAATTTTTTTTGATTTGTCCTCAATTATTAGGATTTCAGTTTTATCAAGCGGGAACTCCTACATATAAATATTTTCGTGTAATTATATAATTTTTTTAGTCATTTCTTCATGTAGCATGTCTCGAGTTAATCAAATCTTGTTATTTTTTTCCAGTTTTCGAGCTACAATTTGCGAACGACCGCGGCGAGTCATTAAGGCTCGTGTTCAGCCCCTGGAGCGTATACAAGGTCGAGCTGCTGGCTGGTCAGCGCGACGTGGTCAAGTGTGCTGGCATAGAGCTGGAGTTCAGCATAAGTCAGCGCGACGTCGGCAAGGACGGCCGGCCTGTGAGTTGCTGTATAATAAAAGGTTGCTCCGATGGTGGCATGAAAAAAACATTTGATGAATTTAAAAATGATGGGGGCGTAGCCCCCATTAAAAATAATGGGGGCGTAGTACTGGAGTTCAGCATAAGTCAGCGCGATGTCGGCAAGGACGGCCGGCCTGTAAGTTGCTGTATGACGAAGGGCTGCTCCGATGGGGGCACGAGAAAACATTTGATTAATTTAAAAATGATGGAGGCGTAGCCCCCATTAAAAATAATGGGGGCGCAGCGCTGGAGTTCAGCATAAGTCAGCGCGACGTCGGCACGGACGGCCGGCCTGTGAGTGAATCTCTAATGAGTGAATCTCAAGCCTTCTCTAAGCCTGTGAGTGAATATCTAATGAAGGGTTGCTCCGATGGTGGCACAAGAAAAAGGCCAAACCAGCGCTTAGCTTAAAAGGCGCAAAAAGGGTCTTTTTGGAGAGGTCTTCGAGTATTTGGGGCCTTAGAGGCTCCAAATTCAATATACATACATCAGTTTATATAGATTTTGCGAAGCAAGAATTTAGTTTTCCATGTTCGATAAAGTCCCAAATAGTTTGTCCATTGAAAAAGGCAAGCTGTTTTTGCCATCTTCAAATTTTAATGGCCGACGCAAATGGAAAAGGCATAAATCGTCAAATTGGGCCAGAAAAAGGCCAATCAGGAACCACTGCTAAAAGGTGCTTGTAAATGGGGGCAGTAGTGATGATTAGTCGCAGTAGTGATAACTAGATAACATGACAATTAGTCGCAGTTATCATTTGAAAGTTATACAGACCGCCACCATATTGAGCGCTGCTATCGCTCATATGTGCGAGAATCATTACCTACTAATTGACGTGGTTTTCAACTATATTACCCTCTTGGGTCTGTTGATTGTTTAACTATCTTTCGGTTATACTATTTAACTATCTTTCNTGCTATGCAATTATATATAATTATATATGATATTTCTTGCATTAAATTATATTTTTTAAAATTATATTACCATATATTTTTAGTATATAATATTATACATTGTATAAACGTTTATTATTCATTTGGTGCAGGTAGGCATCATTTTTTTTTGTTTCACTTTAAACTTTGGAAAATAGAGATTTTTTGCTCGTTCGATGGCGGGCTGCAGATTTGAACAATCGTTAATAATTTTTTTGCACTAGACTACGGCTTATGGTAATAACTTTCAATTATTTTAACGCCTGGTCCTTAGTTTTTTCTCACCTCCTGAAATAGTGAGCAAAAAAAAAGTCGTTGGAACGTTTAGTATATTTGAAATTATCATCGGCATTATATAGAGTCATTTTTATCTACGCACGAGAAACATGAATTACATTGTATCTTTAAAGCTGAGTAGACATTTCATTCCGGCAAAATTCCTTGAATGAGCGGAGTTCCTTCCAAGAATTTGTTATTTCAATGCCATTGTTATTTAATGATCCGTATTTGAGTAAAGGTAGTTCATAATTTATGCATCACCAGACTGCTGCTGACTTGTTTCAGATTATTAATTGTGCATGGAAAATAAATGAAATGGTTCTTGTCTTCCAAACATCCCTTCACTGGTTTCTTATCTCGGATGAAATAATAAAATAATTAATAATGTGATCCATTTGACATTTTATGTATAATTATAACAATTGTTGTCGTGAGATAGCTTTAATAAAGAAGAACCTAATGATTTGGGTCTAAGCCTAGATCCTGTAAGCCTAGATCCTGTTTATTGTAGTAATGGTTGGGAATTGAATTTGTACTTTCTTGTTTTCATCATATTGTTCATTTACTAATTACATATAAGCATGTCAGGGTATGTATTGCAGATACATTGAGTTTTCATAACTGAAATTAGTATTGCGCGGGCATATTGGTCCTGAATACATTATTTGATCTAACAACTTTAGGTGAAATAAGGTTGTTTTTAAGGAATTTGGAAGGCAACTAATAAACTAATGGCACTGATTGACAACCAACTTGAAACGTTCAAGTTTATTGCTTGCATGTGCAATCTTAACAAACTTCTTCCTTGAAACTTATACGGTACCGCAATTACAGGCTTGACAAATAATGTTCCGATTACTGACAAAAAGAAATAGCATTAATTTTAATTCGGTGAAGCTATTTGCCGGATTTTATTGGCACTTGAATTGGTGTATTTGGTTCTTTGGTATTGAAGTGCATTAAAACCTACGGGTAATTTTATGCGTTTCTGGTGACTCACACTTATGGTTTCCTTACTTACTTCTGATTGCTTGTTGACGTTTCTGCGTCTCTCTTGTGCGGTGAAGAAACAGCCGTGCTGCTTTGTGCTTGAAAGCTAACTACAAACCTCCGAGTGACGTGCATAAACTGAACCTTCTGGAGATTCTCTCGGTTTCTTTTCGGTTTTAAAAGGTGAGGGGAACAGTTTTATTAGCCTTTTGAAATATTTATTATATTTTATACCGATTCTTTTTTGTCGTTCCCTTTTCTATTTATAAGGAAATCACGATTGCTGGCACAAGTCTTTAGAATGTACCGTGTCGTTTGCAGAGGGATTGTTCAACCAGCCTAGCGGAAGTTGGGCCCGAATCTCCAACCGTGGCCGATGACTCGACAGGTGCCACTGTTCAAACAATCCTAGAAAATTTCACCGAGCAAGGAAGTATAGTCGAATCCTTCACTCGTGGTGCTGACGACACTCAATCCTCCCTTGTCACAACCATCCAGACGCCATTAGAGGAACCAGTTACCGAGGAAGAGTCCGTTACTCAGTCTCCGAAGACCAGTGATATCAAAGACGAAGGACCAATGATATCAACAGTTCGCGCCCCGGCCGTCCCGCAACCTGAGCTTGTAAAAGAGGCAAGAAGGCAGGACATTGAAGAGCCTATCGGAAACCGCTTCCGGCCTATACCAGATAGAGGTGTGCCAAGGTTACCAAAACCAACAAAAATTGACGAAACCTGGCAACCTGCTTCCCTCCCAGATGTCGAATCATCTTTCTCTGGACTTCCCCTTCCTCACACCCCCGGCCAACCGCTCTTCCCTCCAACTTCGTTCTTCCAGCCGCAGTCTTCATTCGGACGACCGCATCTTGTTCAAGATCCGTCCGAACTCGTTCTCCCCCAGACCTTCTTCAACGACAGGCCGGTAGCTATTCAAAGTCAGGGACAATTCTCATTACCTCCACAGATTAGATTGCAGCAACACTTGCCACACTCTCACGCTCATCTCATTCCTCTCCAACCGCATTTAGATCATCTCTTGGCTCACATTGAAGAAAGCTCATCGCCAAATAAAATTTCTCCCACTGTAACACTCGCCTCAAACGCTGTACCAGCGCCAACTGTTGTCCATGAAGCGTCGCAGCTGGATGCTCCAATTCAGCCATCTAATTCTTTCAATTCTGTTGATGTTCGTGATCAACCTGCTGTTCCGATTCTGACCGACCAAGTGCAACCAGTTATTCAAAATTCAAACCTTCAAGTTCAGCCAGCTGTTTCAGATTCAGCCATCCCACTTCAACCACATGCATCGGTTGCAACCCTCCCGGTGCAACCAGCTGTTCTGGAGTCAACCATTCCAGCGCAGCCAATAGTGTCTGCTGTACTAGTTCAACCACAAACTGATATTGGGGGTCCAGAACTACAAGGAAAGCCAGTAGTTCCCTCCGCACCTGTTCCTGCGATTCCAGTTCATAGGCTGCCTTCAAGAGTGCAGGCAGTTCCAGCTAAAAATGTACCGCAGCCTAGCTTGTTTGACGATGAAGAAAATAACTTAATCGTAAACGAAATAGTACCAACACATAAATCTAATGATATTGGTGTGGAGCAGCCACAAGAGGTTCTACTCGCTGGACCTGCGTTGCAAAAAGATTCCATCGTAACAACCCGCATTTCACTGCCTTCGTTGACTGCTCTTCACCCTAACAAACAGCCAGTCAGTAGCGTTAGTCAGCAACAACAAGATTTGAGCAGTCATTCTCGACCATCACTGAATGCAGCTCTACCGATAATTGACATCCCTGAGGAAAATGTGTTCGATGATCAACTTCCTAGAACTGAATTCGAGCAGCCATCGTTACAAACTGATATTGCAGACAAGCGACCAGCACCAGTTAATCACTTACTCGAAGAAACAAATACGATTCAGACAAATGGTCGCACCAAAATCACCAAACCCAATGACCTCAAACAATCATCTGCGGCTCAAACTCCACACGAAGTAAAGACTCCCGGGACAGTAAGCATTAGTGAAGCTGCTCCGCGGCGAACAGCAACAGTTCCTCCAACTGCCATTCCGTTCACTAATTATCCTCCACCCCACGACTTGTGCGTGGAACAGGGACTTCATGCTGATCCTTTCCGGTGCCCCATATTCCACGAATGCATCATCGACAACGGTGGTTGGCAGGTCTACACTTGGCGTTGCCCAAGAGGCAAATACTTCGACGCCAGTGTCCTGACATGCGTCCCTGGATATTGTTAAGTAATTAATGTCATGGTTATTTATAGTGGCCGACTTGTTTCTTTCGAAAGCCTCCGTCTAAATGTTTTTAAATCAATTGCTTCTCGTGCCTAAACTTCTTCAATTCATCTTTTTTTTTACCCAATTACTTACCTAGGAAGTTGCATATTGCTAACCTGATTACATTTATTTCATGCCTAAAAATTTCACATTAAAAAATCGTCAAGAATCATTATTGAGAATCACACTGGAATTTTATGGAGTTGATATAAGCAAAAGCTTCGCATTTATCTCGGAATCAAGTGCACATCTGTATATACTTTGCCGGAATTTCTAGTAAATTGTGCAGTTGTTACTAAATTTCCCAAATAGGTAGCACGGTAGTTTTGAGTGCTGATATTATCTACTTTAACAATTATAAAAATACAACTTTTACTTGCAGAATCAGCTAACTTATGAATAGCCTTTTCGTTATAAGTAAGACAATGTTCGGCATTACTAGCGTATTTTTTAACGCCCTTCCTGTTAGTGGTCACAACTCCGTTGTTTAAAGTAAACGCAAATTATTGTCAACATCCTTGTAAGTGAATAAATTTTAAGTACGGGTAAGAGGCAAGTGATTTCTCTAAGAAGGCAGCTGGATTCGATTAGATGAATAAATTCCCGAATGTTTCTGTCCATAAAAACTGCGCCTCTATATTGCTGATTTGCAGTCGAAGCTTCGTGCTCACAGGATGTTTACCTCAATTTTGATAAGATCTGAAATGTCGGCAAGAATAAATTACTAATGCATTATAACTTCTAAAGATTAATAATTGTTCGTGTAATAAGCGAGACAATGAAACTGTCATCGTTATAGAAAGAACAGTGTTTAACCAACACCGAAATGTATATTTATGATGGTTTAATACATTTACATAATATGGGTGCTTTTTAATTCCCTATTGAATACGATATGTAAATAATTTGGGGTATTTCAACATGAACAAACTTTTTTATTTCAGTTATACATTTCAAAGGGCAAAGTCATTGCGCAATAGTAAAATACTGAAGTGGATAGGCCAGTAGTTAAGCTTAACAATCATTATACGGGTTCAGAATGGAATTATTACTTTAAACATATTGTTTGAGAAGCATAAAAAAAACTATAATTATCGCAGGAATCTGGAATAAGTTTGATTGTTTTCATCTTACGGTCCGGTCATTTTATGACATATTCTCCATATATGTCATATATGTCTCCATTATGACATATATAACTTTAATCATGTTGTTTGAGAAGCACAAAAGAAACTATGACTATCGCAGGAATCTGTAATATGTTTGATTGTTTCCATCTTACGGTCTAGTAATTTTATGACATATTCTCCAATTGTTATTCGTGCTCGTATCATCAGGCGATAACGTTCACTCATGAAGAGCACGCACACAGTTCATGTCTAGACGTTGTCACGTATGAGTGTGTCCAGAATCCTTCTTGTTTGAGGTCTCTGATAGAACATTTTCTATTTTTTAGTATCCAACTGAGAAAGAACAAATTTTGCTCGATAGTCAGAAAGATTTCACGTAAGTTCAGATCTGATGGTAAGTTTTTTCTTGTGTTGATTGGTTGTGCTTGCTTGTTGAGGGATAGACTTGAAATAGTTACGTAAATTAACGAGACTGTTGCACAGCGCCCTTACGGTAAAAACTAATGGTGTGCTTGGTGTGGTATGCAAATTTCCGTTATCAGTGACCAAGAAACTGTCGGTCGTCCTTACGCCGCATCGTAATATAAAATTTGTTGGCGTTATATAACATTTGATGGTACTAATCAATCGATTTTTTTTATTCTACTACTTGGAAATCGAAGTAATTAATTTACCGAGAATCTACATTTGCTTTTTAACACGAGAATTATAACGAGAAACCTATTATTGCATGTTACAATTTCAACCAAATCGAAGACTATCATTAAGCGGATTCGTACTTCGACTTCACACCAAGCTAATTAATGCACACGATCACCTGACAAATTTAATAACTATTAAAACCTGACTCCTTACTTATTGTAGTTACATGTACGATAAGTTACCTTCACATTTGCCGGGAATTCTCATTCTAGTGTCAGCGACTAAGTGAAGCAAAAAGTACCAATAAAGTATCTATGCTATCACTGAATGGCCTTGGCTGGCGACGATACGCTGTTCACATTGCAGCTGTTGCCATGAACACAACAGTCTGGGAAGGCAGTGCACTCAATAACCTTAGTATAACTACGCAGAGAATTTCTTATAACGACATGCTGTACCAGCGTGTTTCTGTAAAGTTTCATCACGCAATATTGAGCATTCTTAGTATTCGTGCTGTGCTACAATGTCTGAATAACGTTGCAAAACCCGTGTCTATCATATTGGAAACCATAGGTTGTTTGTCTTCATTACCGGGAATGTCAGAGATTGAGAGAAAACGGTTTTAGTCTATTACCGCTGAGGGGAGTGTGCTTGAGAAGTGTAAAAGAAATTTTGTTCGCTTGATTTTTTGGAACATTTATCAATATCAGTACGCTAGTATTGAAAATTTTTCTTTCTTAATATGGGACGTATTCTGGTGCATAACTTTGGGTGAATGGACACTGTAAACAATTAGTTGAAATTTTTATTCAATTTTCTACTCATTTTAGTGATTTAAGTTGAACTTTGAATTATTTATCTTTTGCCGAAATTCCCACTAATGATGAGTAACTCATTAGTAAAATTGGAAATAGATGCGAGAAGTCTACCTAAATATTTTTGCTTGTCAACCAGCACTTCAGTCTAAGTAATATCCGACTCGGCAAATACCCTGTATACGCCCCAACAGCACTTAATTATGCTGTGCGGGGCCAGGTTTCGCACACAAACATGGACAAATATACATAAGATTACTATATAAAATGCATCTTAACTCGTATGTTGTTGATGTTTCAGCTCGCTGTGCTACAGTCGCAGCATGTAAACACGCTCACCAACAACTTTATTTCGCTGGAAATTCACTGTTCGTGAGTAATTCGTCTTTAGAAAGTATATTTCTGAACAAAATGTTGCTTATAAGTTTTTGCTTAACTGATTCGCTTGCGCAGCCCTCAACTTCTTAGGTAAGTTTTCGGGTAAGTTCTTTTTACTTAGTGAGATTTAGGGGAAATTAAATTTTTCTCGTCAGTTTATCCGCTTTATCGATGTACAGTGGTCGGGCTGAATTGATAGTCATGTACGTGCGCTTTAGGAGACGATCAGTTGCTATCAAGCACTTCTTGGAAACGAACCTGGGTTATGATGACCCATTTAAGACCTTTAGGTCTTAAATGAGAAAATACGGGTAAGAGAGCTAAATGAAAATAAACATGCCTCTTTTAACTGCATATGAGATTTATAGTTTCGAATTCCTAGCAGCAGCTTTTGTCTGTCATGGTTTTGTTTAACGCCAACGGGCTGCAGGAAAGAGGCTTTGCCGGCAGCCGCGACAAATGTTAGTTATGCTACCGAAGTCCGTAGGTAAATGATAAATGAGGCATCAAACCTAAACATCAACTCAAAATCAGATGTGAAAGCATTTTCACGAGATTAATAAATAAATTCGACACCTTAGGTGTCGTTAAAAAACCTAAGCTCCAACTCGCCGTTGTAAGTTGCCTATAATTTCAGTGTATCCTAAGAGAACAAGTGGACAACGGCAACTACTTTGTCACGAAGCAAGTACCGGCAGCGAGCGAGAAGACCAGCAAAATTATCAATCTCGCAACGCATTCCATCTTTTGCGAAAAAAGAATGCTAGCCCAAACACTAAATCTAAGCAGTTCGTCTGCTGCCGGCCCTTTAATTCGCTGTGTTAATTTCGTGTTGGCTCCTGAATTTGTAGCATTCGTCTCATGTTAGCTTCCAAATCAAAAGTTCTCTTGTCGACCGTAGAATTCCAAGTATTGATCTTCCAATTTAAGATGTTGATCAGCCTTGACAAAATTTTCGTTGCATCATCTGATCCATCGGAGTCGCTTTGGAAGAGAATTGTGCGTGTTTATTGAATTATTTACGAAAATAAATTTCGTGACTCATTCAAGCAATCGTTTACTGGATTGAATGGACGAGGTACAATGAAATTAATTTGGTCCTGATTGCTGGCTTCGTTTTCCCTAATAATTTATCATTTTTCTTTGATTCCCTTATTCGATAAACTGCCGTTATTATGCCCCCTCATTTGTTCAGGAAGGAATCATAGTGAGGGTTGCTTCTATTTCTACAAGATCACAAATGCCGGGTAGTTTTCCCGCGGCTCGCGCCAAGTATATTAATGTCTCAAGAACTGCAAACATCTCCATTGATTTTTTTTACATTTTTTATATTTCATTAGGCATATTCAATTTTCAAACCATAGAGGCGTAGAGCTTCAATTAAATATATTTTTTTTAGTTTATAGTATATAAACTAACCTCGATCTTCATAGCGAGATCAAATCGTATAGACGATGTGATGCAATTATATTCGTATGTGTCATTTGACAGTGATATTGCCCAAGTATTTAATTCTAACTTATAACGATTTATTCGATAGTATTTAGTTGTATAATCGAATAAATCAACAAATTTCCGCGACGAAATCAGATATTCATGATGTAATATTATGCTGTACCTCCAGATAACTTTGTTAATCCACGGTATTCCTATCCGAAATTTTACGTTACAAAGTATCCATATCTCTGTTTCAAGGCTTTTAATTAACCTTATATTTGTGCTATGTTCTTCAAAGTTCACAGAATCGAGCGAACTCGTACAGTCGCCACAGATCAGGAAACCGACGACATTAACGCTTTACCTCCAGATAACCATGTTAATCCAAGGCATTCCTATCCGAAATTTTCCGTTACAAAGTATTAATTTTTCTGTTTCAGGGCTTTTAATTTACCTTTAATTTTGCTATGTTCAAAGTTCACAGAACCGAGCGGAATCTCGTCGTACAGTCTCTGCAGAACAGGAAACCGACAACATGAACGCGCTGGATGAAGGCGCAGAGACAGAGGCTCTGCCCAGAGATGTCGCCCCAAAGAACACGTCGAAAAGAAGCACGAATGAGCCAAAGTAAGAGCAATAGTAACGTGCATTTTATTGTTGGTGATTAGTCCTCGTGAAAAATAGCTGCAGCGTTTCTAGCTGGCCGTAGTGTGAGCAGTTAGCGTAAAATTTATTTTTGGTAATTCTCAGTCTAAGCTCGAAGAAAATTTACTTGAATAACTATTATTGCTTCCTTTAAATACATGTTTCTATGCAAGAAACTTGAGCTTCATTTTCTAGTAAAAGGCTCATTGTCTTTTGATCCCAATGTAACGGATAAACATAATGTTTATTAGATTATCATGTATGAATTGTTGTAATTCTTGTGATTGAATAATCTCAAATCGGTAACGGCGTAATTGTCCTATATAAAACAACGAAGCGCAATAGAAACAAAAAATTGCCAACAAAAGTCCTCACCATTTTTATATTAATCGAAACAATTAACCAGGTTACTATTTATTAGTTAAATATCCTAAAAGTAACAATCGTCGAATGCGAATGTTGGTTTTTTCCTTTCGACTTGGCAGCACATTGCACTTCTCAATCAACACGACATGGAACGGAGAACCCATCGACCACGACCCCATCACCATGTCCATCGAAGGTCACCCGGACCATGTGACATGGCGCATTGACGCTCCCTACATGGGTGACCCTTCACCCACCGCCAAGCCGGGGGAGCCTTTGTGGCAACTCTGGGAGTACGAAGGTGTGCACGGGTGTAACCGGGACATGCGCAGTGAATTATTTATGACCCGAGCAGTGCGTGAAACTCTATAGATTGAATTTTTGTGCCTCTTGAGGTAGGGTGAAACTTATTAGGTACAAAGGATTCCGGGTAATTGGACCACATCGTGCTTTTTTTGCTTCTGACCTGCTGATAAAATTGCAAGAATTTGCTGTTTAAGTGACACGAGATTGTAGAAGTTAAAGAGTTGTAGGATTTGGTCTAAGCAGACGGATTATCCAATTATTCATTCACAATCAATTGTATTAGTTAGTTACTTAATTTTTGTAAATCGCAGGATGTTAGTTTTCTAATAAATCAACGATTACTGAAGAGTATATGTAGAGGTGGATTGGAAGTTATGTTAAGCTTCAGGTTGTTACCGTCTATTTTTATTGGCATCAGTAATCAGAAAGCAATTGTGTGCATTAGTGAACTTTATGAACGCTCGATCATTTGCAAGTGGAAACAAAGGTAATGCAAGATGGTCTCGTAATTGCTATTGTTTATATCACTGCAACCAAGTTAATGTGAAGTATACAGTATACTACATTTAAAAGCATTTGTGAGGTATCAACAAAGTTCGCCACGGTAATATGAAGTAAACTTGTATACAAGATGCACTGTTGAGGCAGTGGAAACTTCGATTATTATACGTAGTTTCAATGCTGTTTTGTTGGTCGATTGAAGGGAAAAAGTTTATTGGGTGAATGTCGAAAATAGAGCAGTTTAGCATTTTGGCATTTATATATAACTAGCAGGTTATAGTGAGAGTAATAGGTTGAGCTGAGTGTTGAATGCATCTTCAATTTCTTCGTCAGTGAAAGTTAATTTTCTTGCACATTTAAAAGAACAAATGAAACAATCTTGAATTTCATCTATCAGTACAATTTTTTTATGTACAGTTGTAAATAAGGTGCATAATTTATGACTGATCATAGATTTTGAATTATTTTAGCGTTGGATTTTACTCAAAAGCATGTAGGAATATTGCACCTGCAATTAATCATCAAAATGCAATTGTTTCAGTCGTGGAGGCATTCTTCCTCAACGATGACGACCAGTACCTTGAAGTGGAACTTGGCCCGTGAGTCGAACTTTTTCCAACCTGCTTATACGAATTTTTGCTCATTCTTTCTTGGGAGAAAAGAGCTGTACATCGTGTAGATCAATTACTGCACTATCATCACACTATGCGGTACCTAGTGGAGATCAATACACTAAATAATGCACTATCGTGACTATATTTCGACGGCTAACGCTACCTATTAATAATTGAACCTTCGTCGTGTTACCGGCGTAGCCCTGACGTCGCACTTGAATGCACAACCGCCCACTGGCATCCTAAATACGTAGTGCGTTGGTTCTACATTGTTATGATATTCCCGTATATTTGTATTGTTGCACAAAGAAATCTTGATACGCACATTGTCAAAATGTGCCGTATGTTACTAGTGCACTAGTGCACCCTGAACGATAAATCCATCTCAATATATTACCGTGACGTCATACCGTGGTCGTAATGCATAAGGAATAATCTCAATCTGAATTATCTTTATCCTTTGTTCTCGAAACCCCCTGGATAAATCATAATCTGTTATTGTAGCAACATTTGTACCCGCATTACATTTGGTTTCAATTTTACTCGTGGTCCGCCACTCTCATCCCTTGAAACTCGCTAATTTTACTCGTGGTCCACTACATACTCTTATCTCATGAAACTCGCTAATTTTAGATAGTGAGTCGCCACTTTTAGCCCATGAAACTCTCCAATTTTGACCCTCTGCAGGCATGGACAGCACATCGCCCTCCTGCTCCACGGCCCCCGCAACATCTTGCGACACTCCCTCCCTATGCAGGTCTCCTCTAGCATCCAGGGCTCCAGATGGACGGGCGTTGCCACCATTCCTATAGAATATTTTCCTCCCCGAGTAAGCGAGAGTTCTCTTAATATCTTCACGTGGAGTTATTAACATTTCCTCTTATGATTATCTCGAAAATGTTTACTTTATGCATAAAATACTTTAGTACCACAATTGTATGGTTTTACAGTGATATCCTGTTCAGTTATATAGAAAACTTGAGAGTGAGCTTGTTCATATTTTTTTCATGGATATATTCAGAAATTGATCATAGTTCAGTTTTATGCTTAGGTATTGAAGAGTCAGTTTCGGTGCTCTCAAATACAATCCCATAACTCGCAGCTCAGTGATTATGATTAAATTTTTATTGAGATGATAATAATCCAATATAATCCACGCTTCATCCAATAGGTGAATAGATTCAACGCATACGCAATGCATGTTCCTGGAGTACGACGGCATCAGGAGAGCCTGTACCCAGCTGACCCCAAGAAACTCGCTGAGGCTGAATTGTAAGATATTAGCCAATACCAAACCTTATGCACAGAAACATGGCGTTCTTAGAAAGCTACTATCCTCTGTGGTGCTGTATTGAAAGTAATTTCGTTTACTGAGGATTACATTAAGAAATCTTAATCGCTTTTAAGTAATATTGATTTTGAGATGTTTCTTGTTAGATTTTTGCAAGATGCTGAGCAAGTTTTTCATTCAAAAGCATGTTGAACATGGGAATGAGTGTCTTTTAAAAATCGTATTAGAGTTCGAAAAGTTCGCAAGAACCCACGTTGATGCACACGCATGCATTCGTCGTTTAAATTTATCGCTAGTAGATTATTCAGTAATACTTGCGCATAAACTTCATCTTGATGACAATATTATTTTGGTCTTGTTCATAATTTGTGCCAGTTTTGAGTTTGCTGTTGTTTCAAATACGAGTGAAATGACAACGTAAAAACTGTGAAAGTTATCCTCACAAAAGATTTTTTCCACCTCCAAAAGAGGAAATATGGAACCGTAGTATTATCAAGTGTGAATTTCTGCTGCTTCTCTTTAGCCTAATAGACCAATGCCACACAGACATTTTTTCTGACTGTTAATCACCTTGAATTTTGGTTCTTGCCGTTAGCGTAGAAATTTGAGTGCAGCTTCGATCAATGTTTTAGTTTCTAATATATACTAACGCAATGTTCCAGTCACGCTCTGGAGTACTTCCAGCCTCTGGACCTCAAGTCCATCGTTGACGGCTACTGGCAAAGATCTCAGTCAATCACTGAAATTTAGGTCCTTGCGGTTAACGTAGAGATTATTAGTGCAGTTTCGATCAATATTTCCGTGCCTAATAATGTTCCAATGTTCCAGCCACGCTCTGGAGTACTTCCAGCCTCTGGACCTCGAATCCATCGTTGACGGCTACTGGCAAAGATCTCAGTCGCAGCTCTGGAACGACTCCATGCAAGGGTGAGAACATTCGATTTCAGTCGGCCGTTCTTTGCGTCAGGTCGCACAAATTTTCAGACTGGCATTTATTTTTAAACGTATACCTAATGATGCTATTTTTATTCAGATGTAATTTATACCTATTAAATGAATAGGTTGTGAAGCTCTTAGCAAAATTATTCTCATAAAAAATTCTACTAAATTATCAATACAATTTTCTTAATTTAAAATAATGAACTCAGGTGGCAAAAAAAATTGAAGTGGCGCAGAATTAAAGTTTTAAGAACAAAAACGTCGACCAGTAAAACGATGATTCGAGCGCTAAGCGATCAGCACTTAAAATAAATTTTAAAGGTAAGAAAGCATCGTCAATCTTTTCAAGATTACGTGTGTAACTAATTTTACGCCATTTTCAAGCAGAACAATCTTGAAAAGAAGGCTGTACCGAACACTAATTTCTGTGGCGTACCTACAGCATCTATCGCTACACAATTCGTACAACATGGAATGGGGAGCGTGTGCACCACACACCCGTCACCATCACCCTGCGCGAGCAGAAACAAGTGAGTAGCGTGTAGCGGCCAACACCACAATAGTTCAACATGGCTTTAATTAATTAATTTAAAGTCACTGGAATAAAATAAACTAGCATGTCACTCTGTCATGAGTGAGTCACCTGCAGTTTAGCATTTAACGCAGAAAATCCTACAGCTTGTCGAGCCTTTTTCCTCTTTCAACATTTTTATACGTGACCTGTGGCCAATTGTTGTTCTTTTCCTGACTTGTTAGCAGCCGATCTAACTAAAAACATGTCCTTTGACCGGATCTTTTTATAACTGACGATAGTTTGAAATAGCTACTAGACTTCTAACGGTTTCGATATGGTGCTAGACATTTCCTCTGAACATATATTTTTTCCATGGCTTTATCAAGTCTGTTCTTAGAATAGAATAGAAGTGTCGGCGTTGAAGACATAGGCCCATGGCCTGTTGCCGATTCTTGAAATGGAATAAAATTAACTAGCATGTCACTCTGTCATGAGTGAGTCACCTGCAGTTTAGCATTTAACGCAGAAAATCCTACAGCTTGTCGAGCCTTTTCCTCTTTCAACATTTTTTTATGTGACCTGTGGCCGATTGTTGTTCTTTTCGTGACTCTTTCGCAGCCGATCTAAAAAAATGTCCTTTGACCGGATCTTTTTATAACTGACGATAGTTTGAAATAGCTACTAGACTTCTACCGTGTTCGATATGGTGCTAGGCATTTCGTCAGAACATATACTTTTTCAGAACATATACTTTTTTTTATACAGACTTTTTTTTATCGAGTCTGTTCTTGAACGCTTTCATACTCGATGCGTTACTAAAATTACCGTTCTTTGAAGGTGAAATGGAATAATGGGACTGAGTTGGTCCAATAAAATCACACAACAGCCACGAAAATCTAAATATTAATTTACAGTCCGGAGTGTTGGTGAACATCTCAGCGCCTTTCTACAACGACGCACGACCAATGGAAAATCCTGAACATTGCTTGGACGACATCAGCGACCACGAGGGTGAATATACGCACTAAATTCACATGTCTCATAGGTTCAGAATTATTAAAAAAATTATCGATAACAAACGCAACATTCAAACGAAACTTTTGCCTCTGTTGCGGATGGCTTTGTTTGCTACTGTTGCGGAAGGCATTTCGTTAAACTAAACTCAACCTACTAATTTATAACTTTTCGATCATTCTATCCACAGGGTTATCGCAATAATTGTATTTCTTTCGTTTAAACTTGAATTTAGGCTAAATGATCGAAAATATATTTCCCCGCCAGTTGTGGAAATAATTTTCGTGAACGACAAAATGGAGTACCTGCAAGTGGACATGGGTCCCTGGGGCCACTACCAGGTCTCTCTCTACACCGGAGTGCGCAGGAAGGTCCAGAAATCCTTGCCATTAAACTTCACCGTCATATCCCGACGAACTGGAGACGACGACGAGACTCCTGTGAGTTCTGTTTATCTAAGCAACTGCTCGAGTGGGAAAATTAGGTTTATTGCGCCGGCACCGGCCGTAAACTCGCTAATTGAAAGATAGCTGTTGGTACGCCTTGTATTGAAAGTATCGCTTCCATTCTCTAATTTTTCATTAATTTCTAATACAGAAAAAACTTGTAAATGAACCGGCAATTGAACGTGTTAAAAAAGTTAGTTCATGCATCCATATATTCCTTTCTTGCTGATTCGTTCCATAATTTAGAATAACAATAATTTAGGTTAGCGATAGCATCTTTGTATACTAGGGCGAGTGGACGGGGGTGGCTCTCATCCCTGCCGAGTATTTCCCGCCAAACGTGACGCGGGTGAACGCGTTCGCCATGAACGGCGTTGGCGACCACCGCGTTGACGAGGCTCTTTACCCCGCCCCCCACAACGATCCTCATTACTCCAGGCCTGACAAGTGAGAAATAACAATAAAGATCTTCCTAAATTTCAATGCCAGTGAACATCTTAATCACTTCCACTTTAGCCTACTATGAATAACTTGTCTGCTAAAGGTAACTCGGATGCACTGACTAGCAGGTTTCCATTTTCACAAAGAGAGGATTATTCCATTGACTTTTGTCTTTCCTGCAGTCATAAGCTGGAGCTGTTTGAGAAGATAGACATTGAGAACTTGTTGGAAGTGAACCACCAGCAAACGAGCTACTCAGACACATGGAAGGCCGTTTTACGGACCAGAGATCCGAAGTCCGCCGTCACCGCCGGAGCGCGACGCGTTCCTGTCGTGTCGCCGGCAATGATCACGCTCGCCGCAGGGGCGCTGGTAGTCGGCGCTCTGCAGTTCTGGAGAGCCGCACGCTAGCGCCACAGGTGCAGAAATGCTTTGCGACCACTCCAGCTTAAAGGTATACTAGGAAGCCATTGGTAGTGTAGACCATTCCAGATATGAAATCCATGGTTAAATTATAAAGGTTGACCCACGAGGACCTCCGTTTTTCAGTTCAGCTTTCTTGTTACGTCACTGAGATCGAGAAACAAACAATCCCGTCATTCCCATGACGGATTGGTTGACTGGTTTGATCGCATTTCGGTGATTGGTTAATGCCCGTGACGTCACTGAGATCAGTGACGTCACAGACGAACGAGCTACATCCGCAAAAATGAGCATCTCATGGGTCAACCTTATACTAGTTCAACCATGATGAAATCTACTAGGAACCTTTGGAAAGATTTGTACAAATGTTTCCCGTAGTAGTTGACAAACTTATTTTGGATTGAAATGAGCGAGGACTTCGCCGGCATTTCATAATGTTGTCGCGCTGAAGAATAGGCGTAGTGTAAACAACAGGTTGTCGACCTTGCAGTACTGCAGGACCAACAACTAAGTTACTCATGACTGATTCGGTTCAACGATGATAACAAAATCCTTTGAAATTTCAGTCATATTACAGGATTTTTCAAGCAAGGTAAATGAAAAAAACGATAGCGATAGATAACAAAGACGGAACTTCTGAAACGCGGGATTTAGAAGCAAGTCTTCAAGGTTAGAGAAACGGATGTAATATTGCATATATTTTATGTACAACTTTCAGACGTTCTGAATTGCTTCGCGCACATAACAAGGTTCAAGATAAAGGCTTCGGTTGTTCTAGAAAGTCTCTGTATAAAAATAATGCTCTGAATAATCCTTGCAGAATGTTAAGTTTTTCACTAGAGACCTGAGAGATTTAGTTGTACAATTAGAGTTGTTCAGGAAATATAACGGATTCAATTTTAGTACTAATATATTTCAGAAACGAAATAAAACTATTTTTCATGAAGTGTGTAAAAATAGGTAATGAAATATTAATATTTTAGCTCTCGTTTTTTTCACAATTCACTGCACAATAGACACCTCGTCAATGTTTAGCATTTTTAATGTAAGCCGCCTTTCTATTAGACGGACAGACTAATATTCTGGTATGCCTTCTAATTCAAACTATTTTAACGCCCTAGAAGAAGGGCCTAGATAATATATAGTGCATAAGCATGCTAGTGTTCCATGTCAATAATTCTGTCCAGAATGTTAATATGTCGGTAACATTTTTTTTAATCGTCCCTACAATCTAGGCATAAGGGAACATGACGCTCTAAATAAGAGTAGCATGAAGCTGTTCCGAGCAGAGTGAACAAACTCGTGATAGCATTGTACCCATTACGCGAGATTGGCAAACAAAGAATCTATTTTGCAACACCAGTTTTCTTCTGAACGAATCCGGAACTTAACGAATTTCTTTTGAACGTACTCCGGCACTTACGAATGAAACTAACTTCGATAAAAGAAAAACATACTCCTTGAAGTGATAGGACACATTAAAAAAACGTTCCTAGCTTCTATATTATTTAATTCTAGTTCGAAAGTTCACTCGACTCAAGACTTAGTTGGAGGTTGGGTTGAGTTCTGTATTTTGAGTTAACGATTCGAAAAAAATATCCTCGAAAGCTAAAGACTAGAGATATGGCACTGAATTTTGACCAGCACGTTCTCATTCAACTTATACTGTGAAGGAAGTCGCAAGTCTATACTAAAGCTGTATGTATAATGATATTATAAACAAGTTACCTACTTATTTAGGACTCTCAGGCTGAGAAATTAACTCGCCCTACTTAGCATCTACTTAAGCGAAAATGTTATGAGAATTTGATCATTTTCGAGTCCAGAGACGATCACAATGCATCAATATATAGAAAAATAAAATGTGTTATAACTTTTTCATACATACATACGTTGAGCTTTGAAATATTTTATTTATCCTTCCTTCGAATTTGATTATTTTTCGAGCGACTGTACTGGTTTCTGGAATACAATTCCGTTATTGAATATTTTTGAAATACATCTCAACATTTACTCTTTTTTACTCCTATACCGAATAGAGGACTTGAAAATTGAACAAGCACTATTCATCCAGGATTCGTGAAGAGAACAAAGCAAACGCCTTAGTTGAGTTTCGACTAATCAAGATCTCTACAGGTCGGATTCGGATTGCATTATGCGTAGTTCATTTCCAGTCAGAACGGTTTGAAAGGAAATTTTTTAACCACATCAGAATTTCGAATCAAGAGTTTTCTCAAATAAATTTTATAAACGGTTTGAAGTGGCAGGAATTCTAAGTAAAGAAGCCTCGAGTTAAGTGGTACGCGGACCACATGCAAAGAAAGCTGAAATGCACCCACAGTAACAAATTAACGTAAATGCATGGTTAACTAAAACTTAACAATAGCTGCCATCAAGCCTAGTGACGTGTAGCAACAATACAATTAATAAAGCATTCATCATAACGAGCAACTCGTAGAGCTAAAGGTAATAATGTCACATCAACTATCGACCTGTCATTAATCACGGTATGGAAGAGATTATCGCGATACCAGCGGGAAGTGACGTTTTCCAACAGACCTACAATGGATTGAAACTCCCAGCAGGAGTGAGATATCTATCTATAATAATAGCTAAAATCTCGTTTCTTTGCAACTTTAGGCCAATTTAAATGTCATATATTAATTGGTATGCTGGAGCCTCTGATCGGTAAGAATCTATAACCCAAAAATGTTCAAATGGTCGAGGCGTCCTTGTCCCCCGTACTCCGGCAGGTCTGTGTCCAGCACAATGCGGTACTGCCCGGGGTAATGCACGCCGATCTGCACACGCAACGTCATCTACTACATTGTTGTCACTGATAAAATTTGTGTCATAAATACAACTAATGTTACCAATACAATCACTGCTAACAATTAAAAAATGGAGTAAAAAGCGTCTAAATTTTACAACCGTGTTACCTTCCTCGATTCTAAAAATAAACCAAAAAATAAAAAGTTCTATACTCGATCTCCTTTCTTTAAATCTTTACGGATCATCGAATCTTCATTTCAAGATAATATCGCAACTAGAAAACAATAAATTAAACATTTTTAAGGTAATTAATTGAGTTCATTGGGTTAACTCCATGTAATAATTTAGGTACCGGATTTGTCCATGCTTTAGATATGCTAGAAACTAGTTCATTATTTGTCACAACCCTGTCAGTCTCTAAATTACCTGCGCACTTATAACGAATTGACAAATTACATAGGTGCAAAATTAATTATAATGCATTCAAAGATTCTTCTCTTTTTGTCAATTATTTCTTTGCAAATAAGAAATTAAGATATTTTTTCGAATAATCTTCTATTAATATAGAATGAGTTACCAGTGAATCGGTATTATTGTTAGTCATGAGTTTCAATGTAAAGAAAAAATGTTGTAAAGCGAACTCTTATTAAATTGGTGAGATAGAGGACAGTGACAGTCAAAAATGTGGGACAAAGTGTTCGATCGAGTGAGACAAAACTAATTAAAACTATGAGCACAAAGCTGGTAAGAAGAAATCGATAGTTTACCAGCACTTCAGAAAGTGGAATTACACTTTTTGATGAAAGAAATATCATTCATAATTCAGGTTGGTCTTTTTTGAAGAAGATCTTCATTTATTCAAAAATCACCTTGTAGTCGGCGAAGCTCTTATCCCAGTGGAAGTTGAAGACGAACACCACGTCCGCTCGCTCACACACAATCACCTTGTCACCCTCGTGCTTGGTGCTCGTGTACGCCTTCACAAACATGAAATGGTTTCAAAGTTAATACCCAATACTTCGAACACATATGGCTAAACCTATTTCTTAATCAACCAACGTCCAAAGCAATGCTAGGTAAACCTATTACTTGGAACAAAAAGCGTCACAATCAACGTTTGGAAAACCAACAACTTGAAACAAACAATCTCCCAATCAACCTTTGGAAAACTTACTACTAGGTACGTCCCAAGCAAGCATCGTTTGGAATACAGGTGCTAGCGAGCCTCCACTGCAGCATTACTACTTTAATAGAACCGACACGGTTGTACTCACTGGGTCAGCTGACAGCCAGCTGTTTTAAAGAACCGATACGGTTGTACTCACAGGGTCAGCTGACAGCCAGCTGTTTTAAAGAGACCTTACAGTTGACCGCCAGGACCTTACAGTTGACTGCCAGGACCTTAAAGTTGACTGCCATGACCTTACAGTTGACTGCCAGGATCCTAAAGTTGACTGCCAGGACCTTAAAGTTAACTGACAGGACCTCAAAGTTAACTGACAGGACCTTAAAGTTGACTGCCAGGACCTTAAAGTTGACTGCCATGACCTTACAGTTGACTGCCAGGATCTTAAAGTTGACTGACAGGACCTTAAAGTTAACTGACAGGACCTTAAATTTGACTGACAGGACCTTAAAGTTGACTGACAGGACCTTAAAGTTGACTGCCAGGACCTTAAAGTTGACTGTCAGGACCTTAAAGTTGACTGACAGGACCTTAAAGTTGACTGCCAGGACCTTAAAGTTGACTGATCCCTATCAGTCAACTGAAAATTGACAGATAAAAAGTTGACTGACAGTAAACTGAAAGTTTCCCTATCACAATTGTGATCTAGACGCTGAGCAAATCCATTGACTGTAACAATTCGAGGCTAAATTTCTAGGACTAGAAAAATGGTTTCCCTATCACAACCCAAGGCTTGAGGACTATAAACCGACCGAACTCATTGTCCCTAATAAAGCGAGACTAAATTACAAGGACAAGAAATAATTTTCTTCAGAATTGTGAAGATACCGACCGAACTCGGGGCCTATTACAATTTTATCATTCGCTACAAGAATGGAAATAATTTCCTTTTTATTCGTGTCATTTAGATATGTTCAAGTGTAGATGACGCAAAACTTTTCTGCAAATGGTATATCAATGTTCAACATTTTTTCGTATTCGATAGGTCGAGTCTCCAGCAATGAAGTTGAGGTACCTAGCCCTACCCACCGAACAAATGTAATGAGCCTCATCATGTAAACCATTAATAATGTTATATAGTAAGGTCCCTGACCCATAAAGGTAAGGTAGCCCTTACACCGAGCAAATGTAATGAGCCTGATCATGTAACCATTAATAATATTACTTAGTAAGATCTCTGACCCATGAAGCTAAGGTAGCCATCACACCGATCAAATAATGAGCCTGATCATGTAACCATTGATAATATTATATAGTAAGGTCCCTGACCCATGAAGTTAGGTAGCCCTCCCCGCCGAGCACGTGAGTGATGAGCCTGCTCATGTAAACCATTCATAATATTATATAGTAAGGTCTCTGACCCATGAAGTTAAGGTAGCCCTCCCCGCCGAGCACGTGCGTGATGAGCCTGATCATCTTGTGCAGCGCAATGCCGCGGTCCACGATCAGGGACGGCGGGCTGATCGTCGACATCGACGTGTACATCTCCTTGTCCATCAGCCAGAACGCGATGGTCTTGTCCCCCACAAGCGCCTGCAAACACAGGACTTGACTTCAGACACAAGAGTACTTGAACAACAAGGCTAGGAACACCACACATTACTTTAGACATACTCGCAAGAGTAATCATGCTGGAGGTCTTGGAAACACCACAGCCCTTCAAATAATAATTAATGGACTGCGGTATGGTAATAATTGCATGATAAAGATCAAATTGCATCACAAAAATTTCCTTGCATTGTATTCAATGAGTAGCCTCTGGCATATGTGTCCAACAAGTCATGATACACAAAGCGACTTACAGAGAAAAAGGAAATAGCGGCCAAACAGGTCAAGGATTACAAGCTTAAATTTCATTCCATCATTGCCTATTCAGAGGTCACAGAACCAACAGTCAAAATTAAACGGTAAGTCAATGCCGATCTTCTGTAGTACAAAGTTAAGCTTTCCTTTCCACAAGTACATGATAATGTGACAAATTAAAAGAGCCAGTGAAAGCATGCAAAGGTCTTCGCAGCTCGCTATCCGAAGTTGACCACAACAATAATTTTCTACCCTAAGTCATACAAATATTTGAAAATTAAGCGAAGTAGACGTGACCTGGTCGTGGCTCTCAGCATAAGCAATAGTCTTCTCTTTATAGCGCCTGTTCTCGAGGGTGTGCACGATCTTGTTCATGTCCCACTGTTCGTCCGTGCTCTCCTTGAGCATCTTAATCCACTGGTCGGGGATAGCCATGCCCAAGCGGTAGTCGAAGCCACCGCCTCCTTCTGCAACGGGCCGGCAAAGCGCAGGCATTCCCGACACATCCTGTTCAAACAGATTAAATTATGATTGAAAACCAATTTTAGCTTTATTTCTATTCAGAACTTGTGAGAAAATTCCTAAATCGGTGATTTTGATAACGATAAAAAAATCTAGGCCGTGTAAAATTGAACAGCTGATCAGAACTTTCACTCCCATACTCTTGCACTAGTGGAACGCAGCAGAAAATAATAACTTACAATGATAAGCTGACTTCGGACTAATGCCTTCACCTCGTATAACAATGCCATCGCATTACAGAAAAAATTATCTTGATTGTTCTACATCGGGTAAAAATTGCCTCACCTCGGAGATGGTGATGACGTTGGGGTAGAATTCATGAAGCATGTAGTTGGAGGGAGATTGCCTTACCTCGGAGATGGTGATGACGTTGGGTTAGAATTCATGAAGCATGTAGTTGGAGGGAGATTGCCTCACCTCGGAGATGGTGATGACGTTGGGGTAGAATTCATGAAGCATGTAGTTGGCTAGCATGAGGTAGCAGAGAGCTTCGGTATCGACGTTGAGGCCGAAGTATTCACGATAGTCGCCACTGAAGCCTTCGCCGATACCGTGCGAGTGATACAGCATAGACGTCACGCCGTCAAACCTGTCAACTAATGCATTAAAGGCAAAGAAATGATTGTGGACTGATTGAAGGACGGTTTTATTTCTTGATTGATTATTGCTTGCTGTTAATAATCTTGACACATTAAGGAAACTAATACCTACATCATAGGCAAAGATTTGATAGCCTTCTGATTGGCAGACGGTTTGAATTATTTATTTATGATGGCTCACAATGTTGGTGATGAATAAAATATAATCAATGATTGTAAGCAATGATTGAGGACTATAATTTACGATATTAAGTTATTCAATCATCAATCAGGAAAATAAGCAAACCGACGGATTATTATGGAAATAAACAAATTTTCGCTGTTAAATGCAACAGCAAAAATAATTCTGAAGGAAATTGTGAGCTTTTATACACCTGCAGGTTTAAAACTAGCATATATAAGGTAAAAAATTTTCAATTAATAAATTTAAACTTAGAAATCCGCTCATCAAGAAGAAGACAATGAAGAAATGTATATATTAAACATGAATTCCAATATATACATTTGCTTAGGAGCATTCGGAGCAAAAAATGAACATTTCCAGGGCAAGATAGCTAGCAGGTCAATATAAAGTTGTCCTTAAGATTGTAATAAATAATTAGCAGTAAAACCTGGTGTTGCAAGTTTATCCAGCAAAGCAGGTTAAGCCGGCGTGGCCCTTGAGGATACATTTGAGAAAAGTTAAACATGCTGGGAAAACTTCACACATGTGTCCGCTAAAAGCCTGTGTTAACGGACGCTATAAATAAAAATTGCAGATAATTAACATCATTGAATCATGTAACTGCTCAGCCTGGTTACTGCTAATCCATTATATTGAGAGCAAGTCTTAACCATTTAGTGCAAGACTTTCTGCCAATTCATTCAGGAACACTGCTGGCACAATGAAAGAATTTTTTCATCGCCTGGCATGAGATGGGTTCCATTGAAAAATATCTAGATTCTAGGTACTAATTTCAGAATTAATTTTCATCATTTTCTAATTCCGATCATTTTTAGCGCCTTTTCTCATTAATGGAAAAAATGCACTATTGTGCTCGCCATGTCCATCCGTCTGTCTGTCAGTCCGTGACTTCGTGTTTTCGTCGACGAGAAAATGCGCTCTCTGTCATTCACTGCAGTGAGTACTTAGTTATATTTTTTCACTTATGATGAAAGAATTATTTCAATTTCTCACCTGAATCCATCAAAGCGATACTCGTCCATGTACCAGCGCAGGTTGGACAGCAAGAATCGCAATACCTCCCAGCTGCCAACAACGTGTACGTTAATTAATAATAAATAATAACGTGCGCAACAGTTATTAAGAAAATGTCTGCACTGCCTAAAATATACAAAATGCAAGAGCAAAATATACCAGTGAGTTGCATTGAGAGAATAATGCTAGTCATTAGAAGCAATATGATTAAACGGAATAACGACACAAATATAAATATTTGTATTGGGAATGCTGGCAAATAAACAGATAATTTTCTACATTACAGTATCGTCAATACTAGGATCTGCCCGTAAATCGTGCCACAATAGGACTAGATTGACGTGTCTGCAGCCTCACGAAGTGATGGCCAAAATTACTGAATTTTCTAATCAACACTGTGATGCTATGCGCCGCACTTAGAGTAGTTGAAGAGCCTAGAGTCCCAGAGGTCGTGATCAAAATAAGTACCGGTACTGAAATTCCCTGATCATCAACACTGTGATGCTATGCGCCGCACTTAGAGTAGTTGAAGAGCCTGGAGTCCCAGAGGTCGTGGTTGCCGCGGCCACCAGCATGGAAGTAGCAAGAGTCGCTGCCGTCGAACATGTTCAGGCCGTCCAGGGAGTTCTTGGAGGCGTGCGAGTGCACCACGTCCAGCAACACAGTCAGCCCCAACCCGTGGGCCGTGTCTATCAGCGACTTCAGATCTTCTGGAGTCCCGTAACGGCTGGAGAAAAAAGTATATAGCAATACAATAACAGAATAATAATATTTGATTTCATTAAATTAACATCAACCATAACTATCAAGTTTCTTGGCATATTTAAATTAATTAAATCAACATCAACCATAACTATCAAGTTCTTAAGACGTACAAATTGTACATTTATTTAGGCTTAAGAGTCCTAAACCCAAGTGAGAAAACCGAATCGCTCTAACATTTCTCATGGTATTTAGTCTCCCATATAAGTAAATTGTTACAAAACTGTTCGTGATAATATGACGAGGAGATCAAAAACACAAAAAATATTTATTGCTAACACGAATTCAATAATCCTTTGTCGTCAGGCTTTAGCCTGTTCAAGCTGACACTGATCATTGATAAGAAAGGGACAGAATTTCAGCTTGTCGGGCATGCTTAATTTCTCTATATAGATTTATTTCAATGCCATCGAACGTACAAAGGAATGTTCTTGGGTAGCAGCTGGCCCCCGGGCCTCATCAAAGCATCTTACTAGGACTAAAATTATGATTAAGTGGGATACAAAAATCACCTTAAATGATTCAATAATAATATCAATAACACGCGATTCCTTGTGAGACAGGACTTCTCAACTTCTAGAACAAAAAATTCATCAGCATCATAATTACAGTCAATGAAAAACACAATAATATTATATATACATCTCTTGTGCAGATGTGTTGAAATATCATTGTATTTTATTAACTTTCACTACATTCAAACACTAACGGTTCTTTAATGACTTGCATTATAACGGGCAAATGCATCAACATACTACATTCAAGCACTAACGGTTCTTTGAAGACTTGCATTATAACGGACAAATGCATCAGCATGAGTAAAGATAGGAGCGATAACATGCAGCGAACACTGACCTGGAGGCAGCAAAGAAGCTGGTCACCTGGTACCCGAAAGATGCGTAGTATGCATGCTCCATGACAGCCATGATCTGCACGGTGTTGTAGCCTGAAAATAATGAGCTCATTATTATTTCGTTTAATAAGGAGATACTTGATGATGAAGTTCACTGATGAGAATAGTGCTAAATAATTCAATATTACTACAATGAGGGAATGAGAGGGAGGAATCAAAGCAATTGCACCTTCTACCATTCATGCATTTCAAAGAAATAATTATAAGGCTGAATAAGAAACAGCATTTATTACGAAATTAAAGGGGAACATGATTTTTCTTATCAGCGGGGAGAATTCTTTTTCCTTCAAATGAGTCTTCAAACAAACTAGCGTTCATTTTCAGGTAAGAAAGAAAATATTCATAATAATAGTGAATGCCTAGGAATCAAAATATAAGAATAAACAATAATTAAAAGAAATTGTGACTACGATTGCAGCCCCCGATCTATGTCAAATCTCGGTTCCTGGCCAGAGTCGCATATTTGGCCAAATGACTGAGAAAAAAATACTTTTTTCTTCTCCTTGCTCAATAGAGACTTCGTGGGTACTCTTACTTACCCGCGAATTTTGCATTATTTCACATTCTTCCGATCCTCTATCACGTTAGTTGCCTGAACCGCTACCTCGCGCATTAGTATACGCCGACGTCACAAGCAACAACCACAACAACAATAATAGTGGCAGTTAAACAACCATAAGGAACACAAAAAAGAACAATAACACCAACACTTTTGACTACTTTGAAGTGACCTGCTTTAACAACACGCAGGACCACAAGACCACACAGTCTTGTGTCTCATCAAGGCACGCAGGACCACAAGACCGCACAGTCTCATGTGGTCATATAAAATAAGTGAATAAATAATAATCGTAAAATAAGCACAAAGAAGTGACCTGCTTTAACTATCCTAGGCAGGACGTTGTCGCGGAACTCCTGGTAGGTGCCGACACGATCACAATAATAGTGGAATTTAAACAAACCTAAGGAACACAAAAAATAAAACATTAGCACCAACACTTTTGACTACTACAAGCACAAAGAAGTGACCTGCTTTAACTATCCTAGGCAGGACGTAATGGTTTCATAACCATAATCTAACCTATCTACAACTAATGGCCTCACAAAAATGAAAGAATTTGAATAAGAAGTGGAAACTTGATTTTTAGGCTATTATTGAACACTTCACTTGCTGATCAAAATAGTAAATAAGAAAATATGCATATTCTGTAGAAATACGATGCAACTAAAGTCTATTAAACTTTAAAATTGTTACGTAAATACATTCATTATACTGATTTATACATATATAATTATGCACCACGAAGAGTAATTGATCATCATAAGAATTAGGCATCAGGTACATATCAGATTCTTTTAGCTTTATTCTAAAACATGTTTGTAGTGATATGAAGCAGTGTCTGTGATACCTGATCTTTAGGAGGGTTCCAGAAATGATGTTGATAAGCAACGCCTTCTTCTTTTGGTGGCTTGCAGACATAAGATGCCCATGGGGAGAGCCTGTCTACACACTCACCGGACGCAGTCGTCACTCCAACCTAATAAAACATAGTTTTAACTGATACGTAAACAAAGTTGAACAGCTTTGAAGATACAGAGTGATGAAGATATGGCTTGAAAATACAAGTTAATAAAACAAAGCAGTAACGAAACAAACTATTGTATTGTGAGAAGACAGAACTACAAGTGAAAATACCCAGAAAAATTATGAACAACACTAGTTATTAAATTTCATCTCGCAAAGTACATTTGTGTGATCCATGTAACTCAGTGGGTAAACCAATGATGCGAGAAATGTTTGTTCTAAAATCTTTTACCAACGAACAAAATTCTATTGATGCAGAATTTCAGTTATGTTGTGTAAAAAAATAAACTGGATACAAATTTTATACAGATAATCTGGAAAGCAGGGCATGTCAAGCATCAGGGCCTATACTTTCAAAAAAGTAAAGAGATCGTAAGTTCATCAGCCAATCGTTGACGGCCTTTCAAGCAAAATCCACCAATCATAGACAAGAAAATAGAGCGTAAGTACTTACGTTCACATAGCGAGCTTTGAAAGTATCCACCAATCATAGACAAGAAAATAGAGCGTAAGTACTTACGTTCACTTAGCGACTTTTGAAAGTATAGGCCCAGGACGGGATAGTATGACAACAAAAGAAGAGCATATTATCGTTTAGATTTTAAGAATAAGACACACTTATGACGATGGACCAGAGAAAACTTAATATTTGGGGAGTTTGCAATATGGATGGTAAGAATTTTTAGTCAAATATTTGCAAAAGTCAAACACAAAAGAAGGCCAAGAAATTTTTTATTCTTCTTCAAGTAAACTCAGACAATTGTCACCTTGACACGGGAAAGGTGAGGGATGGGACAGGAGCCGTCAGCATTGGCAGGGATATGAATGCTCCATTTGCCAAAGTCAAGCTTCTTGAAAGGATGTGATGTACCATTCCAACCATCTATGGGAATCACAAGCAATCAAATAAACATGATGAACTTTTTACAGTATAAGAGTGATCATCACAATAAAATTGTGCCCAATAGTTGATACTTCTTTCATAGTCCAAGCAACTTCTTATTACAACAGCCAAATGAAATGAGGCAAATTAAAGTTACAAATTAAGGCTGCTACTTATAGTTAAATTGTTCTTTATACGAATTTGCTCTGATGTCCTCTGTGGATAGATAAATGCTTGACATGCAATAGACTAAAGACTGATGATAACCTAAAGCACCAAGACATAAACTGCTAAGTATAGACTTAAGACTACATCAAGCTATGACATGTGACCTACTATAGACTTATAAAAGCTGAATATATCATGAGATATAGGCTCACTGAAATCTCCTTTGAGGTAGAGTTGTTGAGCAGCAGGAGCCCACTCCAGACTGGTGACAGAGTTGTCTGGTTGCACCAGGAGACCAAACTCTTTATAAGCTTGAGTGAACTTGCCAAAGTCTCCTTCAGATGCAGTCAGGTCTGACAACACTTTGTGCATGCAAGAGTACCTGTTAAACAAAAAGCATTAGAATATATACCACTTGAATTGATTACACTTTGGTTGGAACATTTCTCAAAAATCCAGAAGCAAAGTAATGAAGGATCACTTCAGATGTCAGAATGGGCTAGTATGGCAACAATAGATTAGATGGGCTTGTGTGGCAACAATCAAATAGATGGCTAATATGGCAACAAATATTCATCACTTGAAAAATAACAAGCGACAGCAAGCTTTTTTTCTAATTTTCATAAAATGTTGTATAGGATTTTTAGACTAATTAATAGTGCAATGCTAGATTGCATCATTTATACCATAGCTGTCTACAATCATTGCATATACAGGTAGCTATTTAAAAACCATGATAAATGCAATACCCTTGCCAGAAGCACTTAAGTTGCTAGCTTTCTACAGAAGCAATAAATTTTGTAAAAAAAACTGAACCACATCTTTCTAGCATAATCAAAACAATTTTTTAGTTATTAGTAGGCAAACTAACCCTATGTTGTAGGAAAAGGGCAGGTAGTATTGCATATGAAAGGCAAGATCATGAAGTTTGGTGTCCTTCCTAGTCAGTTGCCACTATTCATAGCCCATAGGCCAAGTGAGTAGTGTACGTTTGCTGGCAAAGCTTTGTGCTTTTTTAATGGCCATTTTACAGAGTTGTCACCATCTGAGACAACATTTTGCAGAGCTCCTCATCAGTTTGGCAGGCCTGATCCCTTGATTGGGCTCAGTGTGATTTTTTCATGGGGTTTTGATCAATTGTTTACAATGATTGTCCAAGGACCCTACCTTATTTGAAGAACAGCATATGGCAAGGGCAAGCCATCATCAACATACCCATCAATATGCTTTGGCAAGTTGAACAGTGCCGTTGGTATGGAACTTCAAGAATTGACTAAATGAATGCATTGACAAAGGGGGAAGTCATTTGTCTGATGTTGTTTCTAAAACTAAGCAAGTCAAGGTCAGTAAGTGATACAAAAATTCAAGTAATGTCTTTTTCAATAAAGTTTATATTGTAAAGATATCATTATTTGTTACTTTTTTTAATTGAGCTTTCCAATCCATAAGTTTCTATGAATCACCCTGTTACCTGTATGTTAAAAGTTATTAATTTGTAACACTAGTTTAATCATGATATTTACCTGCGCACAATTTCTTTCTTATGATCATTTAGGTATGGGTCCAGAGTTAGAAGTTTTTCCAGATGAGGAGGTTCAATAGATTCAGGAGACAGATATGTGGAAGCCATATTTGTGAAATCTGAAAAATTCAAAAAATATAAATATCCTGAAAGACATTGCAAAATGCTAACTTGACTTATCTATCATTGTATCATATCTAACCTGTATACTTTTGTTCTTTTCAACTGTAATTATTCCCATATTTAATTGAAAATAATGCCCTATGTATTATTTTCCAACAAATAATGCACAAATTTCACATAGATTCATCAATGCTTGTCCAATGCTAAAATGTCCATTAATCTGGACAGTTTTATTACTAAGATTGACTCCTTACAAATTTTTTCAGTAAATTAGTCTTCAGAAAAACCTCCATTTTTTAACCTGCCATTTTTGGAAATCAACCATGAAAGTTGAAATGATTGCTTTACCTGCAATTTCAGTATAATTATGCCAATTATTGGTGTCAACTGTCAATTTATCGAACATGGTTGAATGTTCTGCACCAAATCTACATACAAAAATATTATCCCAATTAATTGATTAGAGGATTCAACTTTCAAGGGGCATCAATTTTACTAGGTAGCCTAGGCTATAGGTATAGCCATAGGCCTAGCCTAATTGGAATTAAAGAATTGAATAACAAGTTTCTTTTCAAAATTTACAGGATCAATTACTTTTTATTCCAGTTACCAGTAATCAGCATTCAATAAAATGCCAATGATGAATATCAAGCTAGTAATTGGAATTGTAAATAAAACTGTTAAATCTTATCCAGGCCATCCCGTGAGCGTGAAGTTGCGGACAATTGTAGCCTAATTGAATTGTTTTGATGCTGTCTCACCAGTCACCACTAGTCAAAACTCAACAGAGCTACCGAAACAACCCATTCAAAGTATAATTAATTCAGCGGTACACAGTTACGTATTAAGAAGTAGCATACACTTAAATAACTTTATAACAAATACAGGCAGCCGGGTGCCTCAGCGTACCTCGGCTGCCCGGCACCTAGACTGCTCAAGCATGCAGAAGATTGGCACACTCGCGTGACCTTGAACCGCGTTCACACAAGTAGATCAGTTCAACTTGATACGTTATTCATACTTGATGTTTCATTCATCACCTAATAATATGATTTTAAAAGTCATTATTTCTAAATTAATAATGAAATTTTTAAGATAGATGCATCGGCAGATTTTGAGCTGCGTATTCAACTTCAAGCTCAAGCTTAAGGTCTATTGCGATTCAACTTCAAGGTCTGTTTAGATTAGTCGTCATACACAAATAAATTAGTGGTTCTAAAAAGTTTGCACATAAGCAAACTTTTGCATAAGCGCAAAATTGATTGCAGGTATCACAGTAGATTTGACTTCCACATGCATCATGTTTCGCTTACAACAAATTTGGCTCGATTCGACTAGGTTGGCGCCAAGCTTAGTGACGTCTCTTCCTGGCTGCATGGCAACTAACTATTTTCATCTGCCTCAATAAACCTGTATTAGCTTATTTAGCATCTATGTAATTTTAAATGCTTAAGTTTGCAAATTCAACTAAATTAAATTTAATTAGAGGTTACATGGTTAAATTTCTGTCAGAGAAAATAATGTCTCAAAGAAGCACTAAATTAAATATTTAAATTCTTTGTAATTGAACCGAATCGACACTTCGACCGAATCGACACGCAGGCGAGCGAACTCGCCTGAGCACTGAGAATGCAAAACCTAACTTTACGTTCAACTCAATCAGCCATAAATCCATCAACAATGAACGGATTTTATTCAAATTTGAAAAATAAGTAGACAATATCAGTAATTTGTGGACTCGTAAGGTCACTTTTTGTCAAGATCACTTTGCAACCTGTCAAGATCACTTTGCAACTGTACTTTTTGTGACGTATTCCTCACTGCATTATAAACTTTTGTATCGTCAGCATACATCGAGCACACGCTAGACACAGCTTCTGGCAGATCGTTTATAAACTCTATGAATAAAACAGGCCCGAGAATGCTTCCGTAGTTCCGTGTGGCCCGCCGCTACGCACTGAAATCCAATCTAATACGGTTTCATTAATACTGACACGTTGTCGAAGCCTCTGCATGCGCTTCTTGACCGATTGACGAGCTAGCGATTGACAGGGGCCATGCCTCATGAAACGCAAGCGCGGCACTTAGTAGATAGCTATTAAAGAATTGATATCACTTGTATGCGGACCGCAGCACACCCGAGAACAATGGCACACAGCTCAAATTCGGTTACATCAATCCTCATTGACGTCTAGGTGGCAACTAGTGTTCAAAGCGCGGGTTAGCGCGCGCCGCGCGGCAGTGTTGCCAGGTATTTTCTTGGCGAGAATACCATATTGCCTAGCTCAAAATACCAGAAATATACCAGAAATTTTTTTGTTAAAAACAGACTAATACCACAAAATTTAATGAAACTATTCGTCAGAAACGTTGGTTAGAATAAGAAAAAAAATCATCTTATTTTCTGTGCATTTATCTGGCTTGACGATAATTAGCCGAATTTAACACGTTATATTTTTTCGCTCTGTTTTGAACATTTTGACACTTTTCTTCTTGATTACATTGATACTTTTTCCTTTTATATCGCAGTGTGGCACTTCTTCCCCTTCGCTCAACATGAGCAAGCCACGGAAACAGGTCATCTTCCCTTTGCTTATTTTCGTACATACTTGCATTAATCTAACATTCCGGGTGTGATCACTTGTTGCGGCTGAGCAGCAGATAGCTTTTGGTCCGAATTAGGGATTCCAGCACCTTACTTGAAATTTTATTTAGTTGCTTGTTTTTCACATAGGTGACTTGCGGAAACACTCGTTCCAAGAATGCAATGGAGACAGGTCAAGTAGACAAGTGATTCAGTAGGCAGTCAGTTCCATGAATGGATGATGATTTTCAAGATCAGTGAAATATTGAATGGGACCCCAGAATTCAAGTGGCACTCTAGAATTCAAAACCACCAAATAAAAATGATGGAGCTTGCGTCGCAGAAATCAGTTTACTTAATTCAACCATGAGTTCGACAACCTCACTCGTCCTAGGCCATATCATCACTGATCAGTAATCGATCAAGAATAATCACTCTCGTGCTTATATTGCACTAAGCACTTTTGTAAAATGTTAACGATTAGATCGGGGTTATTTCATCAAGCGGTAAACTTGCGGTTCCAAAAATGGCGGTAAACCTCTAGTCGCACCGGTCCGAAGGTAATCTATTTAATCCACGCCTACGCTGGAAGAAGTTCAAACTTCAGAGGTGGAACTTAATGCAGCAAGTCAGAAAAATACCAGATTCAGGCAAATATACCAGAATACCAGATCTAAAATAGTCATACCAGACACCTTCTGAAAATAGCTACCAGATTTGTGAAATCTGGTATAGAAATATAATTTTCGTTTGAGGAACGAAAACAATCTAATTAGAGCTCGGAGTTTTAGGCTGTTTGCTTTTAACATGTTGAAAGCTCTATTTGATCTTTTGGATTGTTTCTTCCTCGAATTTAATCGTATCCGTAAAGAAAAAGGAAGAAAGCTCTGCGGAAATGATTGCCGCCATCGCTCTGCGGAAATGATTTCCGCCATCGCTCTGCGGAAATGATTTCCGCCATCGCCAGCTTTCCTTCCGTTGACCTTGAGCGGCAGCAGCGGTGTAGGCGCAGCTTACGTGCTCTTAAATTTCAATCGCAGCACTGCCCGCGTAATAAAGTTTGGGGAGGAGGTGGCCTCAGCACAGCCTAAAACTCCGAGCTCTAATTAGATTGTTTTCGTTCCTCAAACGAAAATAATTAGAGCAAACTCCGTTTTAGGCTGTTTGCTTTTCTACCAAAGTCACCCTTTAGGGTCTGGGGGAGGAAACTTTCAGACTCCCATGAGAGGTAAAAGAAGCAATCGAGATATTTAAACCAAGGTTTACTTAATTAGTGGGGCAATGCAAATGTTAGATACAATAGTGTTGGCACTAATTAATGACCGTGCTCCCTGCTACGAACTGTATTTTGGGAACCGATAACGTCCTCTGATAGCAACGGATGAATACGTTGGGGGTGCTCCAGAAGCCGTTGCGCATGATCTCCTCCATGGATACGTTGCGCATCCAGGCGATGGAGTGGCTAGCCCGGCGGACGTCGTGGCCCGATGGATTTCCTGGAGAATCGCCGAAGGAACGAAGGGCGTGAGCCAGCCAAAAGAAGCATCTCCATCTCCCGGCGTTGAATGGCTTATGAGACTTGGGCTCCAAGAAGACGTGGTTCCTGTGTTCCCATGAAGTATTCCTTCAAGTGGTAAGCAGGGCATAACGCATGTTTCCCACCCAATGTAGGGAAAGAGATGGGTGGTGGACACCAGTCTACTGACTTGTTTTTGTAGATGAAGCCCGGTAGGACTGCGATCGATACGTCGGCGGGTGAGATGGAGCACCCTGATCTAGAAGCGTTAGCTAGCTCTGATGCTCGGTTTCCGGATGCCAGATCTGTTAAGAAGAGACATTTAATCAGAAGGTCCTCTGTTGTTATGCGCGGAAGGCGGAAGCGTCTAGATTCGAACTGTTTGAAGATAGCATCGAGGAGTTTGTAGAGGCGGATGGAGCGGGCTTGGCCGCGTTATTGTCGCCGGAGGATTTAGGCTGTTGTCCCCTGAAGGGGTGACGGTTGCCTAGGCCGCTTCTGCTGTTGGAGGAGTTGCCTCCGCGGCCTCTTCCCCTGTGGTAGCTGGAGTTGCCACGGAAACCCTGGCTGTCGCGGCTACGATGACCGTCACGACCTGTGCTCAAACTGTGAGTAGACGGTCTGGTCCTAGTGAGCGGGGCACTCCTAGTCGAGTGTGGTGGCAAGACGAGAGATTTTGTGCATATATAGTACAGCGCGCGTGTGTGCTCTCGCATGCATGGCACATTTGACCGGTGTCGTGTGTTGAGAGCGCGTCGTGTGTCCTCTATATATAAATGTCCTTTGAAACACATGAGCACATCTCTCTGAAGCAATTTAGGTCGACATCAGTCGTGCCCGTCACCAACTTCCTAACTGGCTCTTTACCTCTGCTGTGTGATGATTACGTTACTACGCCTATTACTACGTTACCTCTGCCGCCTATTTAAACCTCCGGTTTAAATAGGCGGCAGCTGGCGAACAGGTCCTTGCCAGCGATGGCGGCGTTGTCGTTTGCTGGTCTGAACAATTTCGTGTTTCTGACCTGCTTCGTCTTGAAGCTTGCTCTGTTGTATAA